CATTATTGAACTATGTAAGAAGTTTTTAGATATTCATTTTCTCTATGTTATAATTAAAAATCTATGTGTTTTTTCTCAATCTGAGGAAGTAGCTGACATGGGACTCTGGACTCAGTAAGAAAGTCATTGGTTTGTTACTTCTTTTGTAGAATTACGAACTTTGCCTATATCATGACTCTCATACCTTAAAAAAAGTTGTTGTTTTTTCCAAAGAAAACAACCTTTCTTTAAAAAAAACAAAAACCTTTTGTGGGAACCATATTACATAAAACGGAGACAAGTATAAAGCCTTTTAGCCAAAGGAGTGGCCAGAGATCCTTCACTTGTGACTTCTCTGTCCCTCAACCCTGCAGTGATCCCTGTGGGACCTTCCACTTCTATGGGACATAGTTCGGAAACGAAGACTTATGAGATAATCCTTCTCGCTAAACACCTTTAGAATAAAAACTTGCTGGTACATTGTTTTCTTGTGTATAATTTTCTCACCTTTCTGTGTTTTTGTTAAATGGAAAAGTTTAAAGAAAATTGTAGATGTGTTCTCCTTAATAACATTCAACTCAAACTACTTCCTACATTTGAACAGGATCCTCACCTAGAAATCAAAATAAAGGTCTTGAAAGTGTGTATTTAGGGCAGGAGCTGTGAGGGGGGAGAAAATAGTAATCTTGTGGGTCATTCCTAGGATTATGGATCATTCTCTAATTTGAAATTATGTGGGACCGGGATGGGGAATACAGGGACCGGGATGGGGAATACATGTAAATCCATGGCTAATTCATTTCAATGTATGACAAAACCCACTGCATTGATGTAAAGTAATTAGCCTCCAACTAATAAAAATAAATGAAAAAAAAAATAATAAATGAAATTATGTGTACTCCATCGACTGATATTTATTGTACTTTTTATCAGATTAAATAACGTTCCATACATATGTTCTCCGTTGTCTATAAGTGGAATAGGTAGGAATTCATTTTCTTTATGTGCTTATTTTTCTACTTAGGTAATCTTCAAGTTAGGTCTAGTCTCTCAAAGTATTATTTAAATGTCACATTTAGTAAGCTGTATAACATTCCCATGATAATATCTCTTTCTTAACTTAAAGATAAATAATATTTGACTTATTTCAGATGCGGCAGGAGTTGGACAGGAGTATAACTAGAGAACTAAGAGAAGGTATGTTGCCAAAATGTATGAATTAAATTTAGACATTGATTTCTGAAATAGACTGTAAACAGTAAATGGCATCTCTTTCCATTGTTTGGATAACAGATACTATGTTAAATATTTTTTCTTATCCATAGCTAATGAAAAATGTAAATGAGCAGTCATAGTGAAAAATATTCTTCTTCCTCATTTATCCATCATGTTCCATCGTTTTAAAAAAACTCTCCAAAGGTCTATGTATTTCTGTTTATTTCTGGCTGTATCCTTCCTCTACTGGTGCCATCGCAAGCATGGAGTTCATCACCGTCTCAGCGCTGGTAGCGGTTAAGGCTGGGACACCCAGACTCAGGCAGTTGTGTTTGCGTAGCTGTCACCTGATGGCTGCCTTTACAGTTTCTGTGTCATTGACTTTGTCACTAGTTTATCTCTTGCCCTCAGGAAAAGCTCCGAACACCTGCATCAATTTGGGTCCTTCCAAAGTAGTTGGCCTTATCTCTTTACCACCTTACTCTGCCCCGTAGCTCTGCATCTAACCAGCCAGACTCTGTAGGATCCCACAGATTCGTTTCCTCACCTCCAGTCTTTGTACGTGCTTCTCCCCTCCATCTCCTGCACTTTTTCCTGTCCTTCAGGCATCTGCTTCCATAGCACCTCCACCAGAAAGCTGGCAGTACTGACACAAAGCCGGCTGTCCCTTCTGAGTGTTCCCTGTGCCATCTTGTATACCTGTCTTAGTATTTGTGACTCTGTATGGAAATTGCCTGTTTATCTGTTTTTCCAGTTTATGGCGTTATCATTTCTCAGGGTGGACTGGGTCACCTTTATCTTGTAATTCCAGTGTCACAGCACCTTAGCAGATAGTTATTGAGTAGATGAATGAAGAATGAGAAAGCCAGAAGCTCTGATACTCAGCCACATGTGGGACCATGAGCTGATTATATGATTGTACACTTGTATTTTGTTTTATGTCATCTATAGATATATTTCATTTGTCAGAACACTTAGAAATATCTCAGGTTTTTGTTTTTATGTGGTTTTTTTTTTTACTAATACTGAGTTAACTCAAGTATTTTAGATGAAGAATGTGATCCTTTTTCTTTCCAGCTGCTGCTGAATTTGAATCTGAGTCCTATGGATTGTCTCCTCTAGGAGCTACAGATGGGTCAAATCTGTATGAGGACCTGCTTTTGAAAACATCACAAGAATATGTACAGGTTTTGAAGAAAAAATACATGATCTGAAAGATAAATAGTAAAAATTTCCCTTCTGGACCGTTTTCATGACATTTTAGTTGTTTCTCATTAAACATGATGAGAAAATCTTTATTAAAGGGAACTATTTTTGTGTGTGTGATGAAAATTTAATGGTATTTTAAAAATACTACTTTTAAACAGTAGTATCTAAGTACTTTTGATACTAAGTATTTTCTCTGCAGCTAACTAACTTTTAAGTGATTTAAAACCCAGCACTGTTAAGTTTTCCATGTAAAAGTGAAAGTGTCAGTCACTCAGTTGTGTCCGACTCTGTGCGACCAATGGACTGCAGCCCGCCAGACTCCTCTGTCCTCCGCTACCTTGTGGAGGTGGCTCCAATTCATGTCCATTGAGTCAGTGATGCTCTCCAACCATCTCGTCCTCTGCTGTCCCCTTTCGCCTCCTGCCTCCCAGCTTTCCCAGCATGAGGGTCTTTTCTGATGAGACAGCTCTTCACATCAAGTGGCTGAAGTATTAGAGCTTCAGCCTCAACATCAGTCCTTCCAATATTCAGGATTGATTTCCTTGAGGATTGACTGGTTTAATCTCCTTGCAGTCCAAGGACCCTCAAGAGTCTACTCCCAACACCACAGTTCAAAAGCATTAATTCTTTGGCAGTCAGCCTGCTTTGTCATCCAACTCTCATATCCATACGTGACTACTAGAAAATAGTGTATATATGTTAATCCCAATTTCTTCATTTATCCTTTCCCTCATGTTTCCCTTTCATAACCATGATTTGATTTTGAGATCTTTTGAGTTGGTTTCTGTTGTGTAAATAAGCTTATTTTTATTAAATTCCACATGTAAGTGATGTGATACTTGTTTTTCTGTCTGAGTTACTTCACTTAGTATTGTAATTTCGAGATCCATCTGTGTTGCTGCAAATGACATTATTATTTCTTTTTATGGCCGAGTCATATTCCATTTAGGTTGTGTGTGTGAGTGAGTGTGTGTGTGTGTGTGAGTGTGAGTGTGTGTGTGCGCACCACATCTTCTTTATCCATTCTTCTGTTGATGGACACTTAGGTTGCTTTAGTGTCTTGGCTATTATAAATAGGTCTGCAATGAACACTGGGGTGCATGTACCTTTTTGACTTATGGTTTTCTCCAGATAGATGCCCAGGACTGAGATTGATGAATCATATGACAACTCTATACTTAGTTTTTAAAGAAATCTTTATAGAGTTTTCTACAGTGGGTGTACCTAGTTGCATTCCGTAAGTAGTGTAATAGGGTTCCCTTTTCTCCACACTCTCTACAGCATTTATTGTTTGTATATTTTTTGATGGTGGCTATTCTTATTGGTGTGAAATGATACCTTCGTATAGTATTTCTGCATTTCTCTAATTAGTGACGCAGAGCATCCTTTCTGAGCATCCCTTCATGTGCTTTTTGGTCATCTGTAGGTGTTCTTTAGAGAAATGTATATTTAGATCTTATACTCATTTTTTTATCAGGTTGTCTGTTTTCTGATATTGAGCTCTTTGAGCTGTTTGAATATGTTGGGGATTAATCCCTTGTCAATGGCGTCATTTGCAAATATTGTCCCCCATTCTGTGGGTTGTTGTCTGTCTTGTTTATGATTTCTTGCACTGTGCAGAAGCTTTTAAGTTTAATTATATCCCATTTGCTTATTTCTGTTTTTATTTTCATTACTCTAAGGGGTGGATGAAAAAAGATACTGCTGTAATATATGTCAGAGAGTGTTCTGCCTATATTCTCCTCTGAGTTTTACAGGACCTGTCTTCTATTTAGGTGTTTAGTCCATTTTGAGTTCATTTTTGTGTATGATGTTAGGGAGTGTTGTAATTTCCTTCTTATACATGTAGCTGTTGAGTTTTCTCAGCACCATTTATTGAAGAGACTGTCTTTTCTGCTTTGTATAGTCTTGCCTCCAATATCCGAGATTAACTGACCACAGGTACGTAGGTTTCTCTCTGGACTTTCTGTCTTGTTCCACTGATCATTCAATATATTTCTGTTTCTGTGCTAGTACTGTGTTTTGATTACTGAAGCTTGCAGAGTAGTCTGCAGTCAGGGTACCTGATTCTGTCGGCTCTTGCTTTTCTTTCTCAAGATTGCTTTGGCTGTTTGGGGTCTTTTGTTTCCATACACACTGTAAAATTTTGTTCTAGTTGTGTGACAAATGCCATTGGTAATTTGATAGAAATTGCACTGAATCTGTAGATTGCTTTGGATACTATAGTTATTTTGACAGTTCTACAGTTATAATGTCACTTTCATTTCTGTATTTATTTGAGTTTCCTGTCTTTCCTTCTTAGTTTAGGTAAGGGTTTATTGATATTGTTCGTTTCTTTCAGGAAATGAACTTCACAGTTCTTGCATATGAGCAGTGGGCAGTCTGGCACGCCAGGCCTCTGTGCGCACGGGCAATGTGTTTAGAGGTGTCGCTTAGCAACGATCATTCTGGGATGAAAGATTCCAAACCGTTGAGCTTCCCAACTGGGAGGTTGTGGCGGGACCACTGTGACTTATCTGTAGCGCTTGTGTTGGGTTTAGGGGACTGTGAAGAGCCGAGGTGGAGGTGAGGTGTGTTTGGAGTCCCTAGGCTCTGCGATGAAGAAGCTTTTTGGCTTCGGGAGTAAGAAGGGAGTGTCGTCGCCCTTTGGCTCCTCCATCAGCTCGGGGAGAGACAGCGGTGATAGAATCAACTTCCAGCCCGGGTACCACATCCGAGACAAGGACCTCAGAAAGATCCACAAAGCTGCCACTGTGGGCAATGTAGCCAAAGTGCAACAGGTTCTGTTGATTGGAAAAAATGACCTGAACGACAGGGATAAGATGAACAGGTAAGCGGGGTGGCAGGGCCTGGCAGAGATCCCTCCTGTGAGTTTCCCCTCCAAAGCTCCTGGATACCTTCCTGGGATCCAGCACCCCGCAGACTTTATAGGCAGCCAAAATCCTTAGCTGGTTTTGGACCCACTTATAATTCCCCTTATAGAGCACTTAATGATAGTTTTGAAGTCCTTTAACTGAATGTCGGTAATCACAGAAGTGAAATGAAACATGAATAGCATCTGTTTTTCCTTTCTTCCTCCTACTTTTTATTTGCATGGGTTAGCATGATGTACTCATAAATAAGAGCTCTGAAGTTATATAGCCTTCAAGAAATCTTCTGAACCTCCTGGCTCTCACATTTTTTCTCATGTGATTTATGAAAGCACTTCTTCATGGATCGCCTCTTGTGGATCATGGCAGTGGACAGATTTCTGGTGTTGTCAATATCTTGTTGTTAATGTATACAGTTTTATACCATAAGGTTATATAGTATAGAACACTGCATAGTGAGCAAAATAATTCCCATGCCACATCAACTTCTGGATTAAAGATTCTTCAGATACAATTCAATATCCATTTTATATCAGTGTACACTTAGGTATATGCGTTCTTCGCTGAAGGACCTTAGAAGACAGCTTTGAAGTAGGAAGCTGGCTGTGCCCTTGAATAGGAAGACATTTTCTTAGGATGTATGGTCTTTCTATATTTAAACCCAATCAACATTTCATGGTTTTAAAGATTTTGGGTTACATATGCTGTCTTTAATTGTTGTGATGAAATTAAAACTTTGGTATAGTAGAGGAAGATGTGCTCTTATAGATATCAAAATGTGCTGTAAGTGCCCACAAAGTGTTCATTTACTAACAAGTGAAAAGATAGAGAAATGAATGGAACAGAATGCCCAAACACCCAAATGTCTGTAAAACTTTAGAACTTGATAATGATGACCTTTTCTGTTAGAAATGATAAATTTGTGTGTAGATGGTGGAGAAATAACCTGGTAAAAGAGAAAAGTAGCTCAGTTCTTATGTCACGATAAAGTTTCAGAGTGAGTATGGATCAAACATTTCAAATATGCACAGTGAGAAAAGTACCAGAATAAAACTCAAATTCCTATTTATACATATTTTTATCTGCTGCAGAGACCTTCTGTTTTTTCTATCTCTACTGTTTCTTAACCTTCATTATTTTTAATTGGAGAATAATTGCTTTGCCATGTTGTGTTGTTACTGCTGTATGACGTCATGAATCAGGTGTAGGTATATACATATCCCCTTCCTGTGAGCCTCCCGCCCACCCCCACGACCTTCTGAGAATGATTTCAAAAGTAAGAATTCTGGAGTTTCCTGGATTTCAGCACAAAAAAAAAAAAAAGAAAAGAAATCTGGATGTTGATTTAAAATTTTAAGAACACAAAAAATTTAAAACTGTCTGTAGATCAAGCTGTCTATAGGCAAGTCGGATTAGCAGACAGGGCTTGTCTTTTTGGCACCAATAGGATTGTGGCACAGGATAAAAATGACTTCTCACTTTCAATTTTTTTGAGAATTTTTTTTGAGGATTGATATCTTCTGACAACTTTCAGCCTTTTCAGAAGTCAAGGGAATCTAGGGAGTTCCTTGGTTGTCCAGTGGTTAAGACTCACTGGTGTGGGCCAGGGTTGATGCCTGGTGGGGGAACTAAAATCCTGCAAGCTACCGGGATATATTGTACAACATGGGGAATATGGCAAATATTGTATAATAACTTTAAATGGAGTATGAACTATAAAAATTGTGACTCACTGTGTTGTGTACCTGTAATATATAATAATATGTAATATGCATCATCTATACTTGAATTGAAAAGAAGCAACCTTAGACAAAAAGACCTTATGGTAATTAGATCAAGAGGAAAAATGAGAAATGAACAAACAAAAATGCTACCAATTATAGTTGTACAGACGTTGTGAATTATAAATTTTATTCCAATGTCAGAGATGTTAAAATGTGAGAAAATGAACGTATTAGAATCACTGAAGTACAATGTTGTCTCTAATCCTCAAAATGTATCTGCAAAGGAGGTGTGATCCCCTTTGACTTCATTGAGTTTTGTCCTTATAAAATAGTAGTAATTGTAATAAGTATGATTATATTACCTAACAATTACTGAGCTGTTCCCTGTGCCAGGAACGGTTCTAAACTCTTTGCATGGATCTCATTTAAGTGTTGCAGTGGTGTCCTGTGACAGAACTACTTCTCTCTCTCCATTTTGTTGATGAGGAAATTGAGGCACAGAGAGGCTGAGCGACAGCTGATAAGTGACAGAGTGAAAGTCAAATTCAAACCCATGTTGAGCTGAATCTCAAGGTCATGGTCATTCTATTCAAGTAGATTGTTCTTTCATTCCTGTGTTAAGAAGCGCTAATGCTAATATATAATGTTCTTTCTCCAGAAGGAAACGAAATATTTGTTTCAGAGGGATGGGAATAGCATGCTATTGAATGTTTTCAATCACAGGAACAATTGTTTGTTTTGACACAGTAACACTACAGTTTGCGGTAAACTCCTCTTGCTTTCGTAGGACTGCGCTCCACTTGGCCTGTGCCAATGGCCATTCGGCGGTGGTAACTCTCCTCCTGGAGAGAAAATGCCTGCTTAACCTCTGTGACAGTGAACACAGGACGGCGCTGATGAAGGTATGGGGCAGCGAACCGTGTCCACATGAGATGGGTGGATTTAACTGCTGAGGCTAAACGTGACTCTGTCTCGTTTAGATAGAGCAAACTGGTGAGGCTTGTGGACTGTGTATTTTGACTGCCTAGAATTTACACTGTTTCTTGGCACACGCTGACAGGCCGTGGAATGCCAAGAGGAGGAGTGCGCGACTCTCCTTCTGGAGCACGGCGCGGACCCGAACGTCAGGGACGTCCGCGGGAACACCGCGCTCCACTACGCCGTCTACTGCCAGAATATGTCACTCGCAGCAAAGCTGCTTTCCTACGACGCCGACATAGAAGCCAGGAACAAGGTAGAACTCAACTAACTTTATTTACAAAATATTTGTGAAGCATTTCTTTCTTTCTTTCTTTTTTTTTGTAAAGCATTTCTACCACTGCAATGATGTAAATTAATTAGCCTCCAACTAATAAAAATAAATGGAAAAAAAAGTAAATAGGTAAACTGAATAGTGTCCATCAAGCCGTTACCATGGAAACATAGCCAATGCAGGGGTAGGAGGTGTGTCTGTGTCCACAGAGAGGGCAAAGCTCTGTCTCCCAGCCACCCGTCTATCCTAGAAGGAAGATTTCCCATCAGAACGTGCCTGGGAGTGGGTGGTAGGCTCAGAGCGCACAAATGATGACGGCCTGGGGGAGTGAAGTGATGTGAGGAGCGGCTGCTTCCAGGGGCTCAGGGAATGGGTGCCCCTGGGGGTGGGCGGGAGGAGGAAGGAGACCCAGTGCCCATGAGGGGGAGCCGGGTGAGTGCACGTGGGCCTGGGAGGCAGCAGGCCAGGGACCCTGAGCTGTCCAGGCCCCCGGGTTCTGAGATCCGACCAAGAGGGTCAGGTCATGTTGACTCCCAGCAAGGGCGTTCCCTGGTGCTGGTGAGCACTTGGTTCGCCATGTACACCTCGGGGTCTCCCGCGCTCAGCCCCGGGGAGCTGCTCGGCGGGGTAGCAGGGTGCGTGCGGAGCTGGTGATGGCGAAGCTGCCCCCTCCTGCTCTTTCTCCAGGAAGCAGGTGACGTCCCGCTGCTGCAGCCCGGCGAGGAGCGCCCTCTGCTCTCACAGGAGGGCTCCGTTTTCTGTGTTTGGAAGCTGTGTGTGCAGCCTTCCCTGAGTGAAAGTATTTTGAAAGAACCAAATTGTCTAAGATTGCACTTTAAATTGTGATGTTTCTAAAGAAGCATTAGAGAGTCAAGTGTTCTCATGTGTTTATGGCATATATTTGTGGTAACACTGCACTTGTTAAAGGTAAAACTTTTTCCATATATATCCCCCACTCAAATTTTTCCCCTAATTAGTCTAAAATAACACCGTGAAACAAAATTTCCCTCTGAAGTAGACTTTGTCTTAAAATTCAAACATAATGAAAGCCTTTTACAACATAATAGAAATCTTGCTGCTGTTGACAAATTCCCATTTTATGAAAAATGATTTATATAAACATGGTTTCTCTCTCACTGCCCAAGTCTTAAGGGGCAAAAGGAAAGGAAAGGCACGAGCAAGTGAAAAGTGCAAGTCAGGCTGGAATTGTGGCAGTTGGGAAATGACAAGAAGAGGAGTTATTTATTTTAATATTTATTTATTTGGCTGTGCTGGGCTTAGCTTCAGCATGCAGGATCTAGTTTCCTGACCAGGGGTCGAAAGCAGGCCCCATTTACTGGGAGCACTGAGACCCAGCCACTGCACCACCATGGAATCCCGAGGTTTTAGTTTTTGCTTTTCATTCCCTTCAGTTTATATATTTCTGTAAGGTGCTTTTCGGTTTTCAGGGATAAGAGTTGTTATTTTAAGAAAGAGAGTGAGTGAATTGTAAATTGGCCTAGATACCAGTTTTAGGAAGACTGAGGAAATCAGACTGGCAGTGGACAGGTGGTGGTAAGTGGGAAATAAGAGAGAAGAACAAATAATTAACTGACATCTTATCCTATTCTGCCAGAAACAGCCATGTAATTAAGAGTCTAGACTCTGCTCTCCAATCTAGAATGTCTTGATGGAAAGTAAGGGGTTTACATAGAATGAGATCAGGTTGCCTTTTGAGTTTACCAGTCCCTGTTCTAACACTGTTTACTGAGGAAAATGAGAGAATTTGCAGTTTTGATGACTCTTCCCTTTTACACTTTTCTTTTTTTCCAAATCCTCAAGTAATAGAAGGAATTGGCCGTGTGGGTAAGAGATGATCCTGGAGCGGTTGCTGCACTTATTCTCGCTAGATTGTGCTGGTGAACTGCAGTCACTTGGGAAAAGTTATTTTAAAAAATGTGTAAGCCTAGGCTGTCCTCTGAAGATTTTGACTGAATAAATCAAGGAAGTCTTAGACGTGTGTATATAGAATTATTTCCTTGAGATTCTGATACAGTCCTTGATGAAGAACTATGTAGTGAATAAGTATAATTTCTAAATGCACCTATCTGAAAGAAAAGTCATCTCTAGAAGAGTTGGAGTTTGATAAATGCTAGGTACTTCCGTCAGCTCCCTCCTTTCCCACAATATTAGCCTGACTTTTTCTCTGCCTCTGTGATTGAGAAGTTAAAAAAATTGTATTGAAAATATCTATTGGCTTGAACAATAACTCCTTTTCCTTCCAACCACTCATCATTCAGTGGCTCTCCACTGAATGGAGATTTGCTCATGCTCATGCGAAGTCACTTCATCTGCAGAGTCTGACCCTGTCAGGATTTTGCACCTTCTCTTGTCATCCAGGTCACTGGGTCAACAGATGTTTGTCAGCAACAGGGTTTTCCTGGGGGCAGTAGTAGCGACTCATGCGCCTCTTTTGGTGTCAGCTGCAGGACAGACTCTTGCAGTGTGTGTGTTAGATTTGCTGATCCCTGGCATAGGCAGATGAGAGCTTTAAAACCCATGGATTTCGTAACAGTAGAGATGGGAATTGTTTTAATAATTTAGTTTCAGCAGTCTTAGGACCTCATTATCCATTTGAATAACAATCTAGAAGAATTCTGGAGACAGATTGTAGTTTCACTAGGCAGTGGAAACATTCTTGATGTGTGAGTTATGAGTCTTTTAAAAGAATTTATTTTTAATTGAGTTATGAGTCTTAATAGCCATATGTATTACATATTGGGACGCATGTTTTTTGTGAAGCATATGATAGTAAAGAAAGGAAAGTTTTCACATACACTATCTGCTTTATACCCACCTGTTTGGAAACAGGAAACGTCAAGCAGCAAGTGGGCCATAGACCAAACGTGGCCCTTGGATATGTTTCGTTTAGTTGACCCACTGAGTCAGCATTTAAAGCTTAGGAGACTCATGCAGAAGTCTGCAGTTGAGGCTTCTCCAAGAACCAAATCTGGTCCCCTTGAGCCCATCCTCCTGTTTGGTCTGCATGTAGAGGCCAGCCCTTCGATATGGGGCAGGTATTCTTGGGTTTGCCTGCCTCAGCTGGCTTTTGCACTTTCTCAGTTCACCAGCGTTTCCTCCATAAGCATTTGAGTTTCCAATTTTTGTTTGATAGTTTATTTTGATAAATATTTCAAGGTTTCAAAGACAAGGTAAATAATCATCGATTTCATATTTTGAAAGGATCTCTTAAGAATGGGATTGGATTTTTCAAATTAGAACTTTTAAGTTGATTGTGGCGGTTTTGCACTGAATAATTCTCAGAAACACACAAGATGATGAGAGAGAGCGCAGGGAGAGTTTGCAGAAGAGAAACTGCCGGAGAAAATGCTGAGCACGTTTTTTGTTGGTCACTTATCATGTAATGTTTAAGAGCAGTAAAGGCAGACAAAGACCAGAACTTTGGGACTGTGAGAGCTTCCTCCTGGAGGTCTGGACGTAATGACATGAGAGTCATCAAGAAAGGTCTTTGAAGATAAGGTGGGAGGGGGGGGTCATTCTATGTGTAGATAGCATGTGGCTAATGCTGACCTGTCAGCCAGAACGTCTAACTTACGGGGGATGGGGGCGGGGGCCGGGCTGGGGTGGGGAGCAAGCAAGGAGGAGAGAATGAGTAAGATTAAATTCCAGGAGACATTTCTGAGAAAGCCATAAAACATGGTTCCCACATTTGGTTTTTTGGAAAAAAAAAAAGTTTTCTGTCTGCGTGTTCATGTAGAGAATAATATTCCCACTGGACTGTCTGTAAACCTTGTGTTTACTCATGGTCGTCCTTGGATCGGTTATGCATGCTACAGATAATATATATTTCTGCCTCAGTGTTGTTCCTAAAATATGCAGTTGGTTTAGTAGCTAAATGGAACTCAGACTGCCTGCATTGGGAGTTGGAATCTTAGCCACTGGACCACCAGGGAAGGCCCAGAGGAGGAGCGTATTAAAGAGAAAGAAGGTGCACAGGGGGATGAAGAGGGGGCTCCCTTCTATTTACCTTCTGAATTATATGTTTCAGTTCAGAGAATCTCTTGCACGATTTTAATTTCAGTTTCGAAATAGGTTGACTGTGTACATTAGAAATGGTCTTCCCTGTTTTACAGTGTGACCTCACACCTCTGTTACTTGGCATAAGTGAAGGAAAAGAGCAAATAGTGGAGTTTCTTGTAAACAAAGGAGCAAATATACATGCGGTTGACAACTTGAAAAGGTACAGTTGTTCTTTTTCTTTTTCAAAACCATAGTGCTGTTCTAGGGTGGTAATACCAAGATTAATTTAATAAGAGGATTTGTTTGTGGTCAACACATCACCACTCAGGTAGAAAATCAAATTTTCTGATGGGGAATTATGAACAACAATATATAGCAGGAATATATAGCAGGATTCATATTCTTTTATAATATTGACTGATATCATATGCAACCTATTTTTTTTGGTTTGCTTTTTGGTCCATCTTATAGTAGCTGAGAGATTTCATATTGGTTTTATTAGCTTTGTAAAATATTGATTCTGCTTTGTAGTTTACATTATGACAGTATCAAATTCCTTAGTTCTTTTAAAATAATCCTTTAACCTCTACTTTGTATATATATATATTTTTAAAAGATGCATACTAAATATAAAGGACTTGATTTGGAAAGGACTTTTGGAAAACTCTTTGGATTAAACTACTTTCTTTGAAGAATGCTGATGTTATTAGTTTGCAAAAGAGTCAGATCCAACTTAGCGACTCAACAACAGCAACGAAAAAGTCCTTATTAATCACTATCAGCAGATACTCTGGGCTCATCAGTTTTTATTGTTTTTTATTTCTAGTATATTTTGATGTTTTCATTTTTAATGCAGATAGAAGGAAGAAAGACAGCTATAATTGGATAAACAGTTCCTTTAACAAAGACAAGTCAGAGGTGGATGGTACAGACGAAAATGATGGGCTTTAGATTCAGACTGGGTTCAATTCCTAGCTTTCCTACCTGTTAAGGTTATGATCTTGGGCACATTACTTAACATCAGCAAATAAGTTTCCTGAGACAAAAGGCGAATAGTACTGCATCTTTCAAAGTTGGCTATGTGTAAGAAAGATTTTATATATAGTTTTTTCATTTAGTGCCTAGCCCATGCTTGTCAACATCATTAACTGCCACCAAGACTCTTTTTATTCCGATTATTATTAATATTTTTGTTTTGAGCATGCAAGTAGCCTTTCCTTAACCCTACATCTCACTAATTTTGAAGCCTAATAGATCGGACTAAGGAGGAAATGGGGAATTCATCCCTTAAGTAGTCACCTGCCTCAGAGAAGTGACCTCAACATTGTTTCTTGTCCATCAAGGACTTTATTATTATTTAAAAAAAACATTTATTTATTTATTTATTTGTCTGCGTGGAGTCCTAGTTGTGAGGACCCTTAGTAGCAGCATGAGGGATCAAGTTCCCTGACCAGAGATGGAACCTGGGGCCCCCCCATTGGGAACGTGAAGTCCTACCCACTGGTCCACCAAGGAAGTCCCCATCAGGGACTCTTGAAATAGTAACTGCTGCTATGTGCCATCCCAGTGGGACAGGAGGCTGCTTTTCCATCCCTTCATTTTAACCTTGGAGGTAATTTACAAAGATGAACACAAGCCTGTAAATGGTCAGTTCTTCATGGAAAGGCAAGATGTTAACTTGGTAAAGTGTATCAAATTAGTTGTTTAAATAAGTTAACTAAACTTCCTGAGGCTGAAGTCATCTCTCTGTTGTTACAGAACAGCCCTCATTCTTGCTGTCAATTATGGATCAGCAAATATCGTCAGTCTTCTTCTTCAGCAAGGTGCTGACATCTTTCCTCAAGATGCTTTTGGATGGACTGCAGAAGAATATGCTGTTATTGGTGGCTTTAATATGTAAGTGTTCCCATTAAAACACCAGTTATCACTAAACTGCAGCCAAAAATAATTTTAACTATTACTAATACCTGACCAGTGAGAGCTCCAGTTTGGTGCCGGCAGTTTGGGAATAGTGGTGAGCTGTTCCCCCTCATGAGCTGAAAGCGAAGAAAAGGCTGATTAGTTACATGTGGCCGTGGGTTCGGGATTCTTTATCTCAGGACAAGTAGACCTTGATACTTAGAGAGCCTAACATTAGCCATTTCACTCCCAGTGTAACCTCTCTGTATGGGGTCCAAATAGTGTCACAGTTGTGATATTTCTAACTAGTTATTTGGGTCTTGAAATATTCAGTTCAGCAGCAAATCCTGTGTTTTCCCTTGAGGACTTGCCTCTCTATATGCTGCTCCTGCTTGAATTTTCCCAGAACCCCTCGGATTCCCTAAGATCCAGGAGACAGTCCTCCTCCCCGTCATTTGGAGGGAAGAAAACAGTTCATTCTCATCATTCTGTTGCTTGTATCGATTCTACTGCTGCAGTATTGCTACTACAGCTGGTCTTGACAGGGTCTCCTTGGCAGCTGGATCTGGAGTCTGGATGTTGCTCTATAAAGACCTTTAATAAAATCATTTTAAAAGAAGAAAAAGAAACTCTCCTACAGTCGGCTCACAATTGATCTTTACTCCCAGGCTGCGCCTGCGGGTCCAGGTTCCCCAGGCTTCATGGTGATGCACACGTCGACTTCAGAGTCCCAGCTTCTTTGTTTTTATATGTGTGCTTGTCGCTCAGGTCACTGGTGCAGAAGTCCAGCACCCGGCTCTGGCAGCTGGGGCTCCTGGCTCCCCCCTCACTCAGAAGCCTCATGTGGAGCCACGTGTGAGCCTAGACCTTCACGATGAGGGGCCGTGGAGGCTCTTATTTATCTTGTCTGGTAGCCGATGTCAGTGCGGGCCATTTTAGGCTGTCAGAGAGGTTCAAGCGCTCCTGCAGGGATTGAGCAGACTTCCTTTCCTCCTTGGTTTCTAGACCTGAACCTCCAGGCGGCTTTCTGTCCTGTGGGGGCACCTTTTCTTAGGTGATAGATTCCCTGTCATCCTTCCTAGGGTAGTGGGTGCCGGCTTGCCTGAGATTCCAAAATTACGGTTAGCCCCTCGTGGGATTGTTTCCTGTAATAATGACAATCTTCCAAAGGATTTATATCTGCCTCCACCTTAAATGTTTTCAGAGTCTGCCTCATAAGGAACCCATTCAGCAGACATCCCTACATCGCAAGTAAGATAGTTGGAATTCAGAGAGGTAAGCCCTGTCTAGGACTTGGCAGTATCCACTGTAGGAGTAGGGATATGTCTTCCAAGTGAATTGGAGATGATCATGGAGACTAAGCATCATTGTCAGAAAGATCTGCTGGTTCAGAGCTTGAGTAGGTAGAGAAGGAAGAGGAGTGGTCCAGGCCAGGTCTTGGTTTTGATTAGTTTTCTGCTCTTGGTGTGATCAGCTGCAATGATGGGGGCTAATTATGTTACCTAATGTGGTGATTTCTTGTTTTATAAATAAATTAAGGTGCACATTATAGAAGAGCTGAGATTCCCTGAATTACAAACCACAGGGAATAGCTAATCACCAGAATCAATCAGAGTTTCCTGCAGCCCTCCCTTGAGTGTTAAACGTATGAAAAAACACACATGGGGTTTTACTTGGAATTCCTAAGTAGTTCCAGCAATAAAGTTCAAGAACAAATTATTCCATTCTTTGACTGTTTCTCCAAGCATTTGGGGGGCATCTTAGCTCATTAACTCTTCTTAATCCCCTTGTGATATAAGGCAGTAAGACCCCATTTGTGTAGAGGAAGACTTTGAAGTGAAGAGAAGCAGCTCAACCAGGAACAAAGAGCAGTTGGTTACAGAGCTGGGATTTCCAAGTTTGAAGGAGTTTTCATATGCCAGGCTCGTTAATTAACAGAGCTATACTGCCCTCAGTTCATGACCACTTCATCTTCCTTACCTTTCTCCTTTAAATACATGCTAAATATGTTGTTGGATTCTGTTTGCTAGAATTTTGTTAAGGATTTTTGCATTTATGTTCATCAGTGATATTGGCCTGTAGTGTTCTTTTTTTGTGGCATCTTTGTCTGGTTTTGGAATTAAGGTGATGGTGGCCTCATAGAATGAGTTTGGAAGTTTACCTTCTTCTGCAATTTTCGAGAAGAGTTTGAATAAGATAGGTGTTAGCTCTTCTCTAGATTCAATGCAATCCCTATCAAGCTTCCAACGGTATTTTTCACAGAACTAGAACAGATAATTTCACAATTTGTATGGAAATACAAAAAACCTCGAATAGCCAAAGTAATCTTGAGAAACAAGATTGGAACTGGAGGAATCAACCTGTCTGACTTCAGGCTATACTGCAAAGCCACAGTCATCAAGACAGTATGGTACTGGCATAAAGACAGAAATATAGATCAATGGAACAGAATAGAAAGCCCAGAGATAAATCCATGAACCTATGGACACGTTATGTTTGACAAAGGAGGCAAGAATATGCAATGGAAAAAAGACAACCTCTTTCACAAGTGGTGCTGGGAAAACTGGTCAACCACTTGTAAAAGAATGAAACCAGAACACTTTCTAACACCATACACAAAAATAAACTCAAAATGGATTAAAGATCTAAATGTAAGACCAGAAACTATAAAACTCCTAGAGGAGAACATAGGCAAAACACTCTCCGACATAAATCTCAGCAGGATCGTCTATGACCCATCTCCCAGAATATTGGAAATAAAAGCAAAAATAAACAAATGGGACCTAATGAAACTTAAAAGCTTTTGCACAACAATGGAAGCTATAAGCAAGGTGAAAAGACAGCCCTCAGATTGGGAGAAAATAATAGCAAACGAAGCAACAGACAAAGGATTAATCTCAAAAATATACAAGCAACTCCTCCAGCTCAATTCCAGAAAAATAAATGAACCAATCAAAAAATGGGCCAAAGAACTAAACAGACATTTCTCCAAGGAAGACATACAGATGGCTAACAAACACATGAAAAGATGCTCAACATCATTCATCATCAGAGAAATGCAAATCAAAACCACAATGAGGTACCATTACACACCAGTCAGGATGGCTGCTATCCAAAAGTCTACAAGCAATAAATGCTGGAGAGGGTGTGGAGAAAAGGGAACCCTCTTACACTGCTGGTATGAATGGAAACTAGTACAGCCACTATGGAGAACAGTGTGGAGATTTCTTAAAAAACTGGAAATAGAACTGCCATATGACCCAGCAATCCCACTTCTGGGCATACACACCAAGGAAACCAGATCTGAAAGAGACACGTGCACCCCAGTGTTCATCGCAGCACTGTTTATAATAGCCAGGACATGGAAGCAACCTAGATGCCCATCAGGAGACGAATGGATAAGGAAGCTGTGGTACATGTACACCATGGAATATTACTCAGCCGTTAAAAAGAATTCATTTGAATCAGTTCTAATGAGATGGATGAAACTGGAGCCCATTATACAGAGTGAAGTAAGCCAGAATGATAAAGACCGATATGGTATACTAACACATATATATGGAATTTAGAAAGATGGTAACAATAACCCTATGCAAAACAGAAAAAGAGACACAGATGTACAGAACAGACTTTTGGACTCTGTGGGAGAAGGCGAGGATGGGATGTTTCGAGAGAACAGCATCAAAACATGTATATTATCTAGGGTGAAACAGATTACCAGCCCAGGCTGGATGCATGAGACAAGTGCTCGGGCCAGGTGCACTGGGAAGACCCAGAGGAACTGGGTGGAGAGGGAGGTGGGAGGGGGGATCGGGATGCAGTATACCTGTAAATCCATGGCTGATTCCTGTCAATGTATGACAAACCCACTACAATATTGTAAAGTAATTAGCCTCCAACTAATAGAAATAAATGAAAAAATAAATAAATATATGCTAAATAAAAGTTTGTAGAACTTAAAAACCTGAAATGTATGGGACAAATGAAGTTTTGAGATTATCTCTGACCTTATCTGAAATGATCTAAGAATTTGGTAGTTTTTCATATTAGCGTTAAAATTGTATTTATCATATTTTTAATACATAGTATTCACCACCTGATTTCTGAATATAAAGAAGAGAGACCTAAAACTCCTCCTGAAATTAGCAACCCAGGTACGTCATCTGATAAAGAATTACTCTTGGTGAATCTACCATAGATAAAGTAGGAGTGAGGAAGTTTCAATAATGAAAGAAGTATGAAAAAGTTAGTGTAAATTACATGTGTATTTTGTTTTTTAAATTAATTTCTTAACAGTCTAGTATTCAGAATTGTTTAAGAAGTGAATTGTAGGTAATTTAAAATCAGAGACAGTATTGTCTGAAAAGAAATCCATGTATTTAGTATGGCCCTACATTAGATCTTTGTGCAAATAAGAAAATAATTTTTAGTATGATGTATATTTCATCTATAATCATATTATAGCAAATTGGACTTCTTATGAAAGTGAACATTAACTTTTACAAATGGTTTACATTTAGTGAATGAATAGTTATTAGTTACTGTGTAGTGATGGGTATCACTAAAACAGTTACCATCATTAAAACTGGGAACCTCAGTAATGCCTTCCTGGTAGGATAAGAATGATAAACAGTAAGAACTGCAAAGCTGAGCAGTGTGCAGCATACCAGTGAGAGATTATTGCTGAAAGATACTTACCAATAGTACAGAAGGCAGAAAAGCAATGCCTGGTTGAGAACCAGTTATTTTGCCTATTGTTGTACTAAGCAGGTCTCTATCACCAGCTTCATTCCTTACAGATCCAAAAAGAGTGAGATAGGTTGACTTTTTTAGGACCAGATGTTTACTTCTGTGTTGGATAATTGTCATGACAGTATAGTTTTGTAAGAACAAGATGTTCTCTTGCCATCAGTTAAAAGATTCTCGTAATACATATTCAAATAGATGAACTTGGGACTCTGGAGTTTCTAATAGCAGCACTCAACATGCGTCACATTAACAAAAACAGCGTTAGGTCCCTCACTGTGGCATTAAGCACATTGTACAGGCTGTCTGAGGACACCTTTAACTAGTAAACCTCTATCTCATCAAAGGGTGGCTCAGTAGTAAAGAATCCGCCTGCCAGAGCAGGCGTTATGGGTTCGACCCCTGGGTTGGCAATATCCCCTGGAAAAGGAAACGGCAACCCACTCCAGTATTCTTGCCTGGGAAATCCCGTGGACACAAGAGCTTGGTGAGCTGTAGTCCATGGGGGTCACAAGGTTCGGGCATGACTTGGTGTCTGAACATAGGAACACCCACCAAAGAACTGTAGGTTGGTTTAATATGTCAGAGGAGATACAGAGATGACATCGAATCTTGGTTTTCAATATGCTCAGAATAGAATAGAGTTGTCCCTGGTTAATTTCTGTATTTTTCTAAACAAAATTTTCAAAGAAACCATGCTTATTTATTTGTTCATTTGTTCACCAAAGAAATCATTATCAAGTGTCTTTTATGTATGAAGCATTGTTCTGATGTCACAGGGTGCAAACGCTTAAAAATCACTGCCCCTGCCCTCCAGGCTCGAGCTTGCAGACTCCTCTCCCCGTGGAGTCACTGCCTGTGGGTCATCCCTCCAGCATCAGACCATGACGCCACACGTGACATGTTGTCCAGCAGCCCCAGAGTCCATCACCCCTCCCTCCTTCCCTCCCTCCCCTTGTTCATCAGCTTCGGATCTGATGACGTCTGCCTTCCGGCCTGAAAAAGCATGACTTCTGTCAACATTTGCCTTATAATGGCGAGGACTGATGTAATGATATCCCTCACTAGTACACAGCACTGTTGGGATCATCCTGCTCTATGTGGTCCAGATACTCTGGAGCAAAGGAAGGACACAGTCTCAAGAGATTATACTTTTAAAATATATTGTGTATACATATATATATTTAAAACTTTAAAGAAAAGTTCAACTTATGTGTACCGTACTGCATGCTCACCACTACAAGTCTAGTCCCCACCCTCGCCACCCAGTTGACCCTTCTTTACCCATTTGCCCTCCTCCACCTCCCTTTCAAGAGATTATTCTTTCTAAACCTAGCTCACTACATCTCTCATCCTTCTCTTGCATCTGGAAATAGGGCCAGGAAGACTTTGCTTCCTATGTTTCACCAGCTCTGAAGTTCAGCGCCTGTGGACCCAGCTTCCGTGTGACAGGGCGTTTTCCTCCTGAACTGAGGAGTCTGGGCCGTTGGGTCACGTCCCAGCGAGACGCCTGTGTTCTCCATTCACTGCTCCAGGCGTGGGCGTCCAGAGACACTGTGCTGTTTAAGTGGGCTATAGACAGTTCATAGCACTGATTCTATTAATGGTGTACTATTGCTTTCTGTCAGTCTTCTAGAGTTTGGTTAGGATTACGGTCATTGTAAACATCAGTTCTTTGTTCTCTTTTTTGTTTTGCATTGATGACTATAAAGGAGAGGAGTGGGTCTTAGGCATTAATGTCCTGTGAGTATAGTGCAATCACTGTTCCCTCTAGTGTGGTCTCCAGGTATGGTCCGGAAGGAATACTTTTTAAACAGAGCATCAGTCTTGAGGTTTTAATAGTCTGTACTTTTCTTTTGTTGATTTAAAATGTGTGTTACTTTTTTCCTTAATAGAGAATCAGAGTCCTGAAGAAGACTCTTTAAGCAGGTAGGATTTTATGGATGTTTTAAAATTGTGTGCTTAATAAGGGAACCCGGGGAAGAGAAACTAATGTGTGTTGAGCGTTCTCCTCTGGATTGGACACTGCACTGTGTGCTTGGCATCTGCGACCTCACAGAGTCATCACAGCAGCTCTGTAGAGCAGCTCTGTCCTACTTTTACTTAATTAGCCAGCTGTGTTTCGGAAGTTGATGAATTGACCTGTGATTCCAGGGTTAAAATGAGTTGACCTGTGATTTGACAGCTGGCCTGCCTGTTTCCCATGTCCACTCTTGTGTCCCTCAGCAGAGATTGAGAAGTACCCATGTAGCATATAAATTAAAGATAGCATGTGGTTCTTTGACTTGTGTCCATTTTAAGTTTTAGACCTTGCGGGGAACTCCAGTACTCCCTTTAGAGGAAAGGGGAGCCGTGGGGCCTTCTCCATAAGTGATTCCCCTCTTGAAGGACCAAGACTGCCGTTTTTGATGGACACAGATTAGTCTGTGAACCAGGGACGGACAATGGAGAAGAAGCAGCTTATCCTTCTGCTTTAAGTCATGGGATTTATTCCAGTTTGGGCAAACAACGTTATGTCAGTCCATTAATTGGATTTTAAGTTCACCTATTAGGACTTGGTGAAAATAAATTATTTTCAGGCTCTGCCAGTATATTGGCTGTCACTGTATGTTGTGGAAACTAAGAATGAGCCTTAACTAGATATTTCATAGATTGGGAAAGATAGAAGCAGAAATAGGTGTAACTAAAAACTGTTTTGGAGACTCCCCTGGGAGTGCAGTGGTTAAGGTGGTTACTAAGACTTCTCCTTCCAATGCAGGTGATGTGGTTTCAATCCCTGTTTGGAGGAGCTAAGATCCCACATGCCTTGGGTTCAAAAAGCCAAAATATAAACCAGAAGCAACATGGCAACAAATTCAATAAAGACTTTAAAAATGGTCCACTTCAAAATATGTTTTTTAAAAAAAAAATAAAACTGTTTTCAATCATTTTTGTTGTCTGGTTTGCTCCAAAGGTTTTGCAGTGAACCTCGTGCTGATTTACGGGTTACATCAGATTATGGCGTCTTAGACTTGGACACCAAGGTAAGAGTTCTGTTGTGAAATTATTTTCCGAGCTCTGAGTTTAGCTTCATGTCGCATTTCCTGTTAAAATTCAGCCGCGATGTCCCTCTCAGTGTGGTAAGTTCGCAATGTAAAATTGGTCAGACCAAACTATTTTATAAACATGTGACTCGTTGATTTTTTTTTTTTTTTTTTTACTTCGGTAATTATGGAAGGTGGGGTGAAGAAAAAAATGGGCTGGAAAATACACAGTGACAGAAAAATTATATTAGGGAAAGCTTTCCCACAGTGAAGGAGATATGAAATTTGGTCAAGGATAAAGAGCCTTACTGTGAATTTTAAAACATAAGGATAGGACTTATGTAATACTCATAATGATATCTTTAGTGGACATAATTCCTTATTGTAATGATCTTGGAATCTTCCTGGAGCCTTTCAGTTCCAAAACTATATAGCCTATATCATCTAGTTTTTTGTTTCCCCTCCTGGACACTTTATTTTGGTTTGTTAGAGTTGTTAGGAGGGTGGTTTTTTTTTTTGTTTTCTCTGTTTTGTTTTGGATCTGCCTTAAGACTAAAATAATTGTTGATATGATGGAGATTTAGAAATTAAAATTCTGTTTCTCAAAATCCATATTATCAAGGGATTCCCCTGTGTTTTCTAAAGCATTCCATTCAGAGGATATCCCCAACTCTTCATCTCATTGAAGAATACATGTTTTGCCTAAAATAATAACCAGCTGTAGAAGCAGAGACTTTTAGTAACAGTAAGATAAAACTTACAACCTCAGATATTTTTTCTATTGTAGTTTTTAAAAAACCTCCTCAAAGCCTTGTGTCACATTCTGAAACTTCAGAATTCAGAGATTTTGTATTATTCTTACTTAAATGTTCATCTTATAGACCCTGTATCAGTATAAATGAGTAAAGTTCAGGAAACAATTGTGCATCTCCTGGAGTGTATAGCATAGGTCGTGAATGTAAGAGCCATTTTAATAGTTTTTGAATGTGAATAAGTGAAGAGACAAATGGATTTGTATATAATGTTACAGGTAATATAATATACATAATATATCTGTGAAATCTGAATTCTGAAAATATGACTTATTTTTATATTCCCTTTTGAATATTTAGGATGTAGAAGTTCAGTTGAGTTATGTTGAGGAATGAGGTCCTGCATAGCATGGAAAGAAATAAGAAATACGTGATAAGAAAAAGATTACACTATATTTTTCAGTGTCCTCTAATTGTGAGCTGAGAATTTTAGATTAAAAGTTGTTGACCTTCTCTTTAGCACCGTCTTGTGTTCCATTAAATATTTCTTTTCAAGCCATACATTCTCCTCAGAATTCTGATAACCAGTTCTGTCACTTAGCAGCTGTGGGATCTTGGCAAAACCTGTCTTAACCAGGTTAAAAGTAGGCAGTTTTTAAAAGTAGGGTATTTCCTTCCAAAGGGATTAGGAAATCTTCATGCAACTCATTATTGACATTGACTTTCGCAGAGTATCTCTGAGAGCCTGCCACAGAAGTATGTGGATTGTTTATCTGGAGCTGCTGGTCAAAGAGGAAAAAAGACATTAAATGGACAAGTAGAAGGTAAGAACTGTATTTTATAGGAAAGTCATTTGACAGAACGTTGAATTGAAATGGCCTGCTGGTATATTCTAATCACCAAAGAACATCACCTGTCAGAGACATAGTGAGCAAAAAGACAAGGAGGGAAACTGTGTATCTTATCAGGCGTCAGCCACAGATTACATTGAGAATCCAGTTTAAGGAGCTCAATTATTAGTTCCTCGACTTCCTTCACAGTTCAATGTTTAAGACTCTGTCCAGTGAAGACTCTCCAGTGCAGGGTGTGCAGGTTCAATCCCTGGTAAGGAAACTAAGATTCCATGTGACACATGACCAAAAATAAAATTATTAGTTCTGTTACAAGATACTGTACAACCTAAGGAAGGTGGAGAAACAAGAGGAAAGAGGGAATGAAGGATGAGAGAGGTAGAGAGTTCAGGGAGGAAATGAAGGAAAAGAAGCACAGGTCTGTGGCGGGGGAAGGTGGCAATAAGTAATCAAGGTCTTTAGATAAAGAAAGAGTATTTGACATGGACGATGAATCTGAAGTGAGCTTCCAGCACGAAAACTTGTCAGAGAGGAACAGCAGAGTTTCCCCCTCATACTGTTTTACTTTTTGTTGAGAAGACTTTCAGAACTGAGGTTCCTAGGCATGCACAGCTGTGTGTTATCCTTTGTGGAGGAGGATGGGCATACATGCTCCGCTGTAAATGTTTGCACATTGGTGTCATATGAAATGTTGCTGCTTTATAGGATGGTATTACATGGGCCAACATAAGAGAACTAGAAAGAAGGAGCGAGCAGGCGGTGTGATAGGGAGATCAAGGAACCTACAGCCTGATACAGAGTCCACAGGCAAGTTTCTAACTTGTAATGCAGTTTCACTTTGGGGGGAAGTGTTAGAGCGAGGAAGTTGAGGCTAAGATATCAGGAGAATATATTAAGTTGATGTCTCTGATAGCTCAGTTGGTAAAGAATCTGCCTGCAATGCAGGAGACCCCTGTTTGATTTCTAGGTCGGGAAGATCCTCTGGAGAAGGGATAGGCTACCCACTCATTATTCTCTGGCTTCCCTTGTGGCTCAGCTGGTAAAGAATCCGCCTGCAATGCAGGAGACATGGGTTCGATCCCTGGGTTGGAAAGATCCCCTGGAGAAGGGAAAGGCTACCCACTCCAGTATTCTAGCCTAGAGAATAGTCCATGGGGTCGCAAAGAGTTGGACCTGACTGAGTGACTTTCACTTTCACTCTCAATGTAGAAGCAGACTCCGTATAGACCAGAGTTTCTTAAATTTTAGTCTCCTCTGGACCTCGTGTGAAGTGCACATGCTGAGCAGGAGGTCTGAGAATCTGTGTTTTTGACAAACTCACAAGGGTGTAGCCTTGCATTTAGAGATATCTGGAAGAACTTTGGATAGTGCAGGACATAACAAGATCAGGGAAAAGCATTAATCTGAGCGTGTCTATAGCCAGAGGGACGGAAAGAGTCAAAGTAGCAATTCCAGGTGTAAGATACTATTGCTAAGCAAAGAGGGAAAAACTGGTGGGGATGATTCATAGAAAGAATGTCAAGGGGGAAGAATTAAGACCACAGATCCAGAGATTACTACCCTTTGGATAGGAGAGAATCTAGTGAAAGGACAAAGGGAGGAAAGTAAGGCCTTAGGGAGGTGAGTTTGGAGTTGATGAGGAAACTTGAGAGAATTCCTTCTAAATGGCTTCAGTGTATTTGCACTGAAAAGAGATAAGATAATTGTTGCTCCAGAGAATACTGGAGGCGGGAGGGGGTGCTAGAAGTGGGGGAAACCCCAGCCATTCCAAGTAACTCTCAGGCATCAGAGAGTTGTATTGGTATTTGTTGTTGTATTGGCATTTCTGTTGTGTTGGTATTTGTTATTAAAATGAGATTAATTTGTATAGATTAGATTAATGTGTTATTAAAATTAGACTGATTTGAATATGGAGGCACTGACTTTTTTTTTTTTAAGATAGCTTATTTTTTGAAAGTTGTTTCACAGAAATCCTTTGAAACATTAGCATGATGTACCAAACCAAAGTAAGTTGTGAAACAAAACAGGTTAATCGGGTTCATTCCCTAAATGCTAGAAATATTTTCAATAAATACTACACTGATTTTGAAACATGCAAGATTTTCAATATCTAATAAGTCTGTGGCAATTAAATTTATTATTTCCTTTTTGATAATTGTATCTCAATATTGAGAATTTATTATACATTATTTCCTAGATGTGTTTTATTTACCTTCTTGCGTGAGTGGATCGAGAAACTTTAAGATGGCTAAACTAGAGGAGCCAAGACATGTAGACATACCAGCAGCCCACATAGATATGGAAAAATAATGAATATTTTTATGAGCCATTTCTCTACAAGTGTATATGCAAGCTAATCAGTTCATTACTCTTTCTCCGATGAGAAATGAATGATACATTCTGGTGAACTGTCATTCCACTGTGTACTTCTTAAATGACTGGACAGATCGAAGAACATGATAAATACTTATAGTATAATGGTGTAAATGATAACTGCCGTGTTGCATTCAAGATATACTGGTGTATTTTACCATCAGCTTTCATGTTTATCTTCTTGGGGTCATGATTTGCTCCTCTGATTAAGATCTATTTTCTTCTCATCAGTCATCATGTTCACATTGGTCTCTGTGCACTTTAATATTTTATAAAGTCATTGAAAACATAGTGTTACTTTTGAAATCTTAACTGTTTTGTTTAACGTGTATTTCTATTTTTTCTTCACTATCCATTGTGGATTCATATGTCTGTTTTGCTGGTGTCCTAACATACCCCTAAAATCAAGACACTAAAACCGAATATATTCACTGCCAAGGCTGAGTGCGAGGATTCTGCTGAGTCCTAACTCTGCATGGATGTGCAGCTGGCTTTCATATTTATATATAATTAACTCTGTGTCCCTTTTGCCTTTTAGATTCTCCTGAGAAATACGTTAATGTGAAGGTAAAATCATTTATGTTTTTATCTTGAATTATAAACTGTGGATTGTATCACATGTACATTATTTATTAATCAACTTGTTTCCAAACCCATTCAGCCTGCAGCCTCAGTGGAAGATTTTGTTCCTAAGAAAAAAGTCCGAATGAAGGATTTCCAAACATCCAGTTCAGGTAAATTTTGCAGTACACACTTAACTCTGGAAAGAGGAACACTGAAATATTTGAAATGCTCAGTCTTCATACTGCTAACTTTTTTTTGCAAATTTAATTGAAGAATTTGACAAACATAATCCAAATGTTATTGTTGGTATCGGTGTTTTGATACAAAAAGATAGGTACAAGCATAAGAACAAGAAATTTTTTAAATGTAAGCTTGAACTCAGTATGTTTCTGTATATGTTTCGATATCCTGAAGGTCTCAGTTTGGAACCTCTATACTTCTCAGGAATTCTCAGAGATTAATTATTAGACTCTAAGATTTTTCCAGTGTCCAAAAATGCTTACTTGATCCTCTGACCTTTGCCTCGAGTAACATTTTACTTGCTAATATGTCAGTTATATTTCAGCTTATAATTATTTCATTTTAGTGTTGTTACACAGATGAATGTAGGCCTATCAGATGTTTTGGTTAGCAGACTGTGTGTGTGTTTGTGTGTGTATGTGAGTTTATGGTGTCTTTGATTATTGGAATGAGGGGATGTAATCATACTTTATTGACTATTTGATGACATAATATTTTAAAACAGTGATTCTGAAAGGTTTTGGCTTTAGGATGCTTTTATACTTCTAATTGAGAATTCCAAGGAAGTTTTGTTTTTGTCTATCTATGTTCACTATATTGGAGTTCAGTTCAGTTGTTCGTCATGTCCAACTCTGTGCGACCCAGGACCCAGTGGACTGCAATACACCAGGCTTCCCTGTCCATCACCAACACCTGGAGCTTGCACAAACTCGTTTCTGTCGAGTCGGTGATGCCATCCAACCATCTCATCCTCTGTCTTCCCCTCCTCCTCCCGCCTTTAGTCTTTCCCAGCATCAGGATCTTTTCCAATGAGTCGGTTCTTCACATCAGATGGCCAAAGTATTGAAGTTTTAGCTTCAGCATTAGTCTTTCCAATGAATATTCAGGACTGCTTTCCTTTAGAATTGACTGGTTGGATCTCCTTGCAGTCCAAGGGACTCTCAAGAATCTTCTCCAACACCACAGTTCAAAAGCATCAATTCTTTGGCGCTCAGCTTTCTTTATAGTCTAACTCTCACATCCATACATGACTACTGGAAAAACCAGAGCTTTGACTAGATGGACCGATATTGGCAATGTAATGTCTCTGCTTTTTACTCTGCAGTCTAGGTTGGTCATAACTTTTCTTCCAAGGAGCAAGCATCTTAATTTCATGGCTGCAGTCACCATCTGCAGTGATTTTGGAGCCCAAGAAAATACAGTCTGTCACTGTTTCCATTGTTTCCGCATCTTTTTTGCCATGAAGTAATGGGACCGGATGCCATGATCTTAGTTTTCTGAATGTTGAGTTTTAAGCCAACTTTTTCACTCTCCTCTTTCACTTTCATCAAGAAGCTCTTTAGTTCTTTTTCGCTTTCTGCCATAAGGATGCTGTCATCTGCATATCTGAGGCTGTTGATATTTCTCCCGGCAGTCTTGATTCCAGCTTGTGCTTCATCCAGCCCAGCATTTTCACATGATGTACTCTGTATACCAGTTAAATAAGCAGCGTGACAATATACAGCCTTGACATACTCCTTTCCCTATTTGGAATCAGTCTGTTGTTCCATGTTGTCCCGTTCTAACTGTTACTTCTTGTACTGCATACATATTTCTCAAGAGGCAGGTCAGGCAGTCTGCTGTTCCCATCTGTTTAAGAATTTTCAAGTTTGTTGTGATCCACACAGTCCAAAGCTTTGTCATAGTCAATAAAGCAGAAGAAGATGTGTTTCTGGAACTCCCCTGCTTTTTTGATGATCCAACGGATGTTGGCAATTTGATCTCTGCTTCCTCTGCCTTTTCTAAATCCAGCTGGAAGATCTGCAAGTTCATGTACTTGTTGACACCTGGCCTGGAGAATTTTGAGCATTACTTTGCTAGCATGTGAGATGAGTGCGATTGTATGGTAGTTTGAACATTCTTTGGCATTGCCTTTCTTTGGGATTGGAATGAAAACTGACCTTTTCCAGTCCTGTGGACACTGCTGAGTTTTCCAGATTTTCACAGCATCATCTTTTAGGATTTAAAATAGCTCAACAGGAATTCCATCACCTCCACTAGCTTTGTTCATAGTGATGCTTCCTAAGGCCCACTTGACTTTGCATTCTATTATATCTGGCTCTAGGTGAGTGACACACCATCGTGCTTATCTGGGTCATGAAGATCTTTTTTGTATAGTTCTTCTGATATTCTTGCCACCTCTTAATATCATCTGCTTCTGTTAGGTCCATACCATTTCTATCCTTTATTGTGCTCATCTTTGTATGAAATGGTCCTTGGTATATCTAATTTTCTTGAAGAGCTTTCTAGTCTTTGTTGTTTTCCTCTGTTTCTTTGCATTGATCACTGAGGAAGACTTTTTTCTCTCCTGCTATTCTTTGGAATTCTGCATTCAAATGGGTATATCTTTCCTTTTCTCCTTTGCTTTTAGCTTCTCTTCTGTTCTCAGCTATTTGTAAGGACTCCTCAGGCAACCATTTTGCCTTTTTGCATTTCTTCTTCTTGGTGATGGTCTTGATTACTGCCTCCTGTAATGTCACGAACCTCCATCTATAGTTCTTCAGGCGCTCTATCAGATCTAATCCCTTGAATCTATTTGTCACTTCTATTGTATAATCCTAAGGGTTTTGATTTAGGTCATACCTGAATGGTCTAGTGGTTTTCCCTGCTTTCTTCAATTTAAGTCTGAATTTGGCAATAAGGAATTCATGATCTGGACCACAGTCAGCTCCCTTCTTTTTGCTGACTGTATAGAGCTTCTCCATCTTTGGCTGCAGGAATAGAATCAATCTAATTTAGTTATTGACCACCTGGTGATGTCCATGTGTAGAGTCTTCTTTTGTGCTGTTGGAAGAGGGTCTTTGCCCTGCTTCATTTTGTACTCCAAGGTCAAATTTGCCTGTTACTCCAGGTATCTCTTGATGTCCTACTTTTGCATTCCTGTCCCCTACAATGAAAAGGACACCTTTTTTGGGTGTTCGTTCTAGGAAGTTTTACAGGTCTTCATAGAACTGTTCGACTTCAGCTTCTTCAGCGGTAGTGGTCGGGGCATAGCCTTTGATTACTGTGATATTGAATGGTTTGCCTTGGAAACAGAGATCATTCTGTTGTTTTTAAGACTGCATGCAAGTACTGCATTTCAGACTCTTCTGTTGACTGTGATGACTACTCCATTTCTTCTAAGGGATTCTTGTCCACTGTAGTAGATATAATGGTCATCTGAGTTAAATTCACCCATTCTAGTCCATTTTAGTTCACTGATTCCTAAAATGTTGATGTTCTCTCTTGCCATCTCCTGTTTGACCATTTCCCATTTCCCTTGATTCATGGACCTAACTTTCCAGGTTCCTATGGAATATTGCTCTTTACAGCATCAGGCTTTACTTCCATCATCAGTCACATCCACAACTTGGTTTTGCTCTGGCTCCGTCTCTTCATTCTTTCTGGAGTTATTTCTCCACTGATCTCTAATAGCATATTGGGCACCTACCGACCTGGGGGGTTCATCTCTCAGTGTCCTGTCTTTGTGTCGTTTCATACTGTTCATGGGGCGCTCAAGGCAAGAATACTGAAGTGGTTTGCCATTCTCCTCTCCAGTGGACCACATTTTGTCAGAATGCTCCACCATGACCCATCCGTCTTGGGTGACCATACATGGGTTGGCTCATAGTTTCACTGAGTTAGGCAAGGCTGTGGTCCATGTGATCAGTTTTGTTAGTTTTCTGTGATTGTGGTTTTCATTCTATGTGCCCTCAGATAGGTATGGATAAGAGGCTTATGGATGCTTCCAGATGGGAGAACTGACTGAGGGGGAACTGGGTCTTATTCTGATGGGTGGCGCCATGCTCAGTAAATCTTGAATCCAATTTTCTGTTCGTGGGCGGGGAGCTGTGTTCCCTCCCTGTTGTTTGACCTGAGGCCAACCTATGGTGGAGGCAATGAAGATAATGGTTGCACTGCTGCACTCAGTGTCCCCATGAATACTGCAGCAGGACACTGCTGACCCATGCCTCCAGCAGAGACTCCTGGAAAATAAAACTAAGAAACATAAAATACAACACACATCATCATAATGGCTAATTCCATTAGTCATTAGAGTTTTGATATCACATATGCTGTGTCTGAAGAACCCCACTGTGCACTCAGAACAGAATGAGAATGAAAGTGACATTTAGTGTTCTTGTGAAAATAGTTCTGACCTCCTAGACCCCCTGACCCAATGGGTCTCTGGACGTAGGGATTCTGGGGGCACACTTGAGAATCACCATTGAAACCATTGATGTGGTTGGATGTGAAATGATAAAGGGGCCCTTGTGTTGACACAGGATTTAAAGTTTCAGTTTTAAATTTCTTGCTTGTTTCTTTGACTTCTCTTAAGAAATTTAGACCTGATAATTCCTTTTTTTTAAAGCAAATATTCTTGTATTGTGCTCATTCTTGGCTCATGGTGCTCTGTGCTCTTTGGATCCAGTGTGGTCCTGGACTTATCCTATTTTCACGTGGAAACAATTAGTGACCCACAAAGCTATCATTTCCTATATAACTTTATGATGTTTATCCATGCCGTAAAAATTCAGTTCTGAGGATACTGATAATTTGAGAAAGACCATCTCATTGTAATAAAGTAGTTGGTGGTGGTGTTCAGTTGCTAATCATGTCCAACTCTTTGTGACCCCATTGACTGCAGCACGCCAGGCCTCCCTGTGCCTCACCATCTCCTGGAGTTTGCCCGAGTTCATGTCCATTGAATCAGCAATGCTATCCAACCATCTCATCCTCTGCTTCCCCCTTCTCCTCCTGCTGTCAATCTTTCCCAGCATCAGGGTCCTTTCCGGTGAATTGGCTCTTCACATTAGGTGCCCAAGGTATTGGAGCTTCAGTTTCAGCATCAGTCCATCCAGTGAGCATTCAGGGTTGATTTCCCTTAGGAATGACTGGTTTGATCTCTTTCCTGTCCAAGGAACTCTCAAGAGTCTTCTCCAGCACCACAATTTGAAAGGATCAATTCTTTGGTGCTCAACCTTCTTGATGGGCCAACTCTCACATCTGTACATGATACTGAAAAAACCATGGCTTTGGCTGTATGGACTTTTGTCGACAAACTGATGTCTTTGCTTTTTAATGTTGTCTCGGATTGTAGCATTAATCAAAGTAGTACCATTCATTAAAAGTGCTTTTAAAACCATGGTCTCTAGAGCACACTGTATTGTAAGGCATAATTAAATGTAAAATAATTTGGATGTATATCTTGTTAATAAAATATTTGTATGTTGAAAACAAATAATTATCAGTAAAGTTCTTATGGAATACAGACTATGTAATAGAAATCGAGTAAATCAACGTAAGTAATACTAGAAAATTAAAAAATAGAAGAAATGAGATACACTAGTTAAAGTCTGTTCATGACAGTGACGTGTAAGAACAATAAGGTGTGAAGGACTAGTGAGTCTGAGGGGAGAGGAGGAGATGGAACTGATTCTCTGAAGAAAGACTTTGTACAAGTTAGTCAGAGTTGTATTCTTACTCATATTCTAATCAATGGAGACTTTGTTTTCACATTTTTCAGATTGGTCTTCTACTGCTTTGAGCCTCAGTGATGAGACTTCTCAAAGAGCTGGGCATTTGAAAGTTGATGATCAGTGTCCACTGACGTCACAATCAATGACCAAAAATCAGTCAACATCCACCGAATTTGGACGGATGCCCTTAACAGATACTGTAAAGACGAATATTGCGGCGGTGTTTCTGGTAGGGAATTCCATGCTCCATGACCTGTGCCAGTCTCAAGAGCCAGAAAACAGAGAAGGCGAACAAGGTAATGCAGAAGCCCAGAGCACTCAGCTGTCGGCCACCTGGGCACGGCCTTAGCATCATTCTGACGGTTCCAAATTAGATTTTGTGGCAAAACCTACCTTGTGCTGACTCCTTTTATGCAACCTATAGCCAATAAATACCTCTTAGCAAGATGTTTGCATTCTCCCTCTGACCATAGTAATACAATAAATAACAGAGAGAGTTAGGAGAAAGTAAATTCATTTTGGCTAGTATTTAGTATACACCTGAGAGTGGGTAGCAGGACTATATTTAGAACTCTGGGACTAGTTGGGAGACCTAGGTAGACATCTAGATTGCCCTCTCAAAACGTGATTTTGTAGCAATATTTTTATGTAGCTCTAAATTCCTAAGTATTAGTTATCATTATATTCAGTACAACTGCAAAAGCAGCTTTGAAACCAAATACTAAAATAGTTCTTGTGTTTTCTATGACTTCATATATTTTAGAATTGGCTTGCCCAGTAGTAATGGGAGTCATGGGAAATTTGCTAAATAGTACCTCCTTCTCAGCTGTGTCCACATAGTATATCAACTTGTTTTATTATTTGTAGTGAATTAAGAGTTCACAAGGGATGTTGGTTTGAAGGAGTGCTGTATCATTTCAAAGCAGTATACAGAAAGTCAATTCTGATTCTACTAGGATGCCCAGTCTATTGAGTAATCCCGTCTAATAACGTGTTGTCCATAAATACTAATTAATTTAGCGCCTTTAATCAGTCATATGGTCAGGACAATAGTAAGAAATCATACACTGTTTCTTTTTACACTCCTGTAGTTTTTTCGTTTCTACCCTCACCTTTGCATTTACAAAAGATTCTCAGTTATCTCCTAGAATAGTGACTGCAAGCTCTCAACTCAAAGTGTTTGTCTTTTTTTTTTTTAATCTATGTAACTGAGTCATTTGCTCTTGTTTCTCCATGAGCTTGGTAAGTCCAGGAAACACAGATTCAAGTAAAACGGCTACATGAGTCCCTTCAACAGTGGACAGGGTGAAGTAGGAAAACTACAAAATAAATAGAAGCAAGTTCAGTGAGTTCTTGTTGATTGTTTCTCTTCTCAGTTGATACCTTTTATAAAATACCAAGCTGAATCTACTCCTTCAGAGTCCCAGGATTTGTACATTTGTTGGTTTCTTAAAGATTTATTCTATACTAGACCCTGAAAGTTTTATATCCTAAGTATTTCTGGAAACACTCCCTCTTCTGGGCCTGCATCCACTTTTTTCCCCCACTATTAATGCCTTCAGATTCATCTTCCTTATTTTATTTGTATGCTCTTCAATTTCATCCCTCCCTTAGCATTTAGTCAGCAATGTCAAAAACACACGTGAGCATGAAGCACTCTGAATCACATTAATGTCTAGACCTCTTAAAGCGACATTGATGCTTTCATACTATGACTTCTGCCTGACTCTCCATCTCTAGCTCTTTCTGTCCTTTGTCCTGGAATTCTGAACTGCTGTTGATGCCCTCCTCACCTGTTCCTGTTGTTGTTCAGTCGCTCGGTCACGCCTGACTCTCTGTGAACCCATGGATTGCAGCACACCAGGCTTCCCTGTTCTTCACCATCTCCCGGAGCTTGCTCAAACTCATGTTTATGGAGCCGGTGATGCCATCCAACCATCTCTACCTCTGTCATCCCCTTCTCCTCCTGACTTCAGTCTTTCCCAGCATCAGAATCTTTTCCAGTGAGTCAGTTCTTCAAATCAGGTGGCCAAAGTATTGGAGGTTCGTGTCAGCGTCAGTCCTTCCAATGAAGATTCAGCACTGATCTCCTTCATGACTGACTGGTTTGATCTCCTTGCAGTCCAAGGGACTCTCAAGAGTCTTCTCCAACACCACAGCTGAAAAACATCAGTTCTTTGGCATTCAGTCTTCTTTATGGTCCAACTCTGACATCCATACATGACTCCTGGAAAAACCACAGCTTTGACTAGACAGACCTTTGTCAGCAAAGTAATGTCTCTGTTTTTTAATATGCTCTCAACGTTTGTCACATCTTTTCTTCCAAGGAGCAAGCGTCTTTGAATTTCATGGCTGCAGTCACCATCTGCATTGATCTATGAGCCCAAAATGTGCCACTGTTCCCATTGTTTCTCCATCTCTTTGCCACGACGTGATGGGGCCGGACGCTGCGATCGTCGTCAGTCCCCGTCCCTGGTCTTGGACAGACATCTGCCCTGTGGTGCGCCTGCTCCCCTCCCGTCGTGCAGCAGCCTTCAGTGCTCTCCCCTCCTGCCCTCTGTGCCCTGGACGTCTGCGCTCAGGCAGTGTCTCTAGAAAAGCCATCCCTGACACCTCTTATCTACATTTTTCTTTAAACTCCAGTGTCTAGTCCTGAGCAGAAACCTGAGAAATAATTATTAAATAAAAGAAATAAAGACTATTTATACCAAGGTGATTTCTTAAATTTATTTTTTTTATTGAAGGATAATTGCAGAATTTTGTTGCTTTCTGTCAAACGTCGGCATGAATCAGCCATAGGTATACATATCTCCCCTCCCTTTTGAAGCTCCCTCCCATCTCCCTCCCCATCCCATCCCTCTAGGTTGATACAGACCCCTGTTTGAGTTTCCTGAGCCATACAACAAATTCCTGTTGGCTGTCTATACCAAGGTGATTTTTAAGAGCTTCTCCTCTGCAGTTTAGGAGCCAAGAGGATTGGCATGTGAGGAAATAATTTACAGTTCAGATGTGTGTCTATCACTAGGAAAATCTAGAAGGATACACTAGAAAAATCTTTAAAGTACTAAGGTAGCTACAAGGAAAGAGATACCTCTTTATCTGGGGAAAGATAGCTGTAATCAAAGACAACTTCACAAAGCAGGTTGAGTCTTAAAAGATGAAAAGTAATTTGTCAGAAGAGTACAGGGAAGCATTTCAGATTAAGGAACTGATAAAAGCATAAAAAGGAAGAGGAACTTTGTAAACCATGAGTAATGTTGTAGTTGAAGCTTGGCATGTTGTTAAGAAGGTACTGTTATGAAGTAAAGAAGAGAATGTATAGCACCATTTTATGTCTGTCCTATATTTTGAAATTTTGTTTGGTTTCTGATTGTTTTGTCCACTGATGGTTGGATGAATCTGTGAATGAATCTTTGAGCTGCTTGTGTGCCTGTAACCTGGTGACATCTGGTATTTCCCAAATTGTTTGTTGAAATTTTTTGATCATTGGAAGTATTAAAGAAGTAAATATTCAGCTGAAGATTAAGGTTGACTTAAGCTGTCACTTGATACAATGTTTTAGATCTACGTTTTAAATGAAGATTGTGTCTCTTACCTAAACATTGTAAGTAATCTTAACTAAACATGCAGGTTTGTCGGCAGAACTAGACTTGGAAATGATATCAGAGGAAGAACAAGAAAAACTTGATGGAATTGGAAATAATCATTCACAGGTATGTAAAACTGTAAAATTCAACTTCTGGTTTAATACTGTCTGAGAAAATGTGTATCAAACAAGGCAAATTAGAATGGAAAGATAAGTTAAAACCCATCAGAAATGAGTTAAAGCAGCAGTTTGGTGAAATTTGTGAGCAATAGAAAACTACCGTTTGTCCTGAGGGAGATCCACCCCGTGATAACCCTGACAAAGGAGTGAACAGAGAGGAAACAGCTCCTAGAGATGCGTTGGGAGTTTCTAGCTGTCTAGTGTTCTAGGCATTTCCTGAACAAGAAGAACCCAGTCTTGAAAATGTTTTTCCATTGTCTGTAAACTCTGGGTCCCTGGGATATGCTTGTCAGTCATCTTCAAAGCTTTGTTTCACTGAAAATAAACTAGACATTGAAAATGATCAATTAGACATCGAGTGCGTGTTTATCAAAATTGAGGAGAGCTTTTATAATGGTACAGAAAATAAAAAAGTAGGAGACCCAGTAGTTACTTCTGAAGTGAAAGAAGACCAAGCGTTTGATATGCAAATGTCACCAAATATGAGGCAAAATCCTACTAATTGTAAATTAGACATCCAACAGACACATCAGTCTAGTCTGTGGCTTGTCCACTCCGGGACGGTGACACACATTATTCAAATCAAAAGTTGTTTGCTGCTGTTACAAATACTGGTCAGAAAAGCAAACCAATACAGGACTGGTTCCAGAAGCCACTGCGTGCAGATAATTGTAGTGCTAGTAAGGATAAAAGCATGGAACCCGAATTAGAAAATGGGAGTTCTCCACCGAAAAGTCACAGAACATCCAAAGTGTATGTAAATGAAGAATTACAGAAGGATATGCAGAGATGTAAGGAGGAAATAGACATGTTACAGGTAGAGTTGCTGGCTTAGGAAGAAGAAAATTCAACTTTCGAAAGAGATAAGGGGTTCATTTGCTCTTGCTTTGGTTTTTCTCTTTCTCAGTGATCTGGTCCATTTGATTTTCCACTTATGAATAAAGTGGGGTCATCTAAATAGGTAATTGTGTAGAAATAGATGATTTCTGCCATCTCAATAAGAGGAATTCAGGAAACTATTTTCATGGCTCTTGTCCTTCAATCAATCTAATATCTAATTCTGTCTCTGTCAGTCTTTCATGTGGACTGGGAAACTCATTTAGCTATGTACCATGTGATCTTCTGAGCCAGAATAAGCACCAAGGAAATCGCTTAAGTATAATCAGCTAGGGTTTTGCATTTTGTTTTTCTTTTTCTTTAACTCTGTTGGATTAAATATGTTGTATTTCCATAGAATGGGAAGAAAGCAGTGACTGGGAGAAGGGACATAAACACGTGTTGCCTCTAATCTCTTCATTGTAGAGGAATATGTGTGATCTCTGCTTTCCGCAGTCACTGGGCATTTAAATTTCCAGCATGGCCGCTTCAGGATCTTCTTAATAACAAATACATGTCCTCTCACATATGCTTTAATCACCACTCTCAGATGTTTCTTTGGAGACAGACCTTTCCATTATGTTTTTTACTAAAATGTAAGTTTTGACGTGTGTGATTTTGTCACATAGGTTGTGTGTGTATGTGTGTGTGTGTGTGTGTGTGTGTGTGTGTGTGAAAGTTGCTCAGTCGTGTCTGACTCTTGGTGAGCCCTTGGACTGTAGCCTGCCAGGCTCCTCTGTCCATGGAATACCAGAGTAGGTAGCCGTTCCCTTCTCCAGGGGATCTTCCCAACCCATGTCTCCCGCATTGAAGCTGGATTCTTTACTATTTGAGCCACCAGGGAAGCCCTTAGGTAGTATAAACGCTCAGCAAAAAAGAAAAAAAAATTAAGTGTTTATCTCCAAAGGAGAAAACTGAGTTTTGAGACGTTGTGAGATTTTTCTTTCTTCAGTAATAGGTTTTTAAAATTGTTTGCTTACTCTTTTGTGTAAGAGGTGCTTTGATGGAGTTAGAAAATGGACAAGGAAAGAAAGAAAAAAGCTCTATGTATTCTTGTGTTAAAAAAAAAAGGACATGAGCCCTATCACCAGCTAAGGCATTTAAAAATACTGTGCCAAAGTCACACTTTTAACTTGTCTGATTAATCTGATGAATTCATTTGGTAATTTATCACATTCAAGGTTGCAGAATTGTATGATTTCTTTTGGTGCCATAAAATGCTAGGGAGTACCACTTTAGGGGCTTTGAACAAAACCTTGAACTTTTTTTGATTTTATTGCTGTTTTTGGTAAATAGTGGGGCAACAATAGGCAATTATTTCTATACCCTCCAGCTGTAAGGTTTGATGGTTATTGCATGTGGAATTGAGAAGCATTACTTATATTCCAGAATTCCACACTAACAAGTCCTCAGTTTCATTCTGCTCCTGGTATTTGGTAAACTTTGGTTCATATTTTAGTGAACACCATCCGCTGATCATCGAAAAAGCAAGAGAGTTCCAGAAAAACATCTATTTCTGCTTTATTGACTATACCAAAGCCTTTGACTGTGTGGATCACAATAAACTGTGGAAAATTCTTAATACCAGACCACCTGACCTGCCTCTTGAGAAATCTGTATGTAGGTTAGGAAGCAACAGTTAGAACTGGACGTGGAACAACAGACTGGTTCCAAATGGGAAAAGGAGTATGTCAAGGCTGTATATTGTCACCCTGCTTCTTTAATGTATATGCAGAATACATCATGAGAAACGCTGGGCTAGAGGAAGCACAAGCTGGAATCAAGATTGCCGGGAAAAATATCAATAATCTCAGATATGCAGATAACACCACCCTTATGGCAGAAAGTGAAGAAGAACTAAAGAGCCTCTTGATGAAAGTGAAAGAGGAGGGTGAAAAAGTTGGCTTAAAGCTCACATTCAGAAAACTAAGATCATGGCATCCGGTCCCATCACTTCATGGCAAATAGATGAGGAAACAGTGGAAACAGTGGCTGACTTTATTTTTCTGGGCTCCAAAATCACTGCAATGGTGATTGCAGCCATGAAATTAAAAGGCGCTTGCTCCTTAGAGGGAAAGTTATGACCAACCTAGACAGCTTATTAAAAATCAGAGACGTTACTTTGCCAACAAAGGTCCGTCTAGTCAAGGCTATGGTTTTTCCAGTGGTCATGTATGAATGTGAGAGTTGGAGTATAAAGAAAGCTGAGCACCGAAGAATTGATGCTTTTGAACTGTGGTGTTGGAGAAGATTCTTAAGAGTCCCTTGGACTGCAAGGAGATCCAACCAGTCCCTCCTAAAGGAGATCAGTCCTGGGTGTTCACTGGAAAGACTGATGTTGAAGCTGAAACTCCAGTCCTTTGGCCACTTGATGTGAAGAGCTGACTCATTGGAAAAGACCCTGATGCTGGGAAAGATTGAAAGCAGGAGGAGAAGGGGACGACAGAGGATGAGATGGTTGAATGGCATCACCGACTCAACGGACATGGGTTTGGGTGGACTCCAGGAGTTGGTGACGGACAGGGAGGCCTGGTGTGCTATGGTTCATGGGGTCACAAAGAGTCGGACATGGCTGAGTGACTGAACTGAACTGATAACTTTTTGGTTATCTCCCAGATCCAAATGAAAAAAAGAATTGTAAAAGGCAGAGGGAAAAGAACAGCTTTAGTGCAGAAAGAAGAATGTTTCCTTTCTGTCTCTGAGATAATAAGGTGTCACATCCTCTACATCTGGCTGTTTAATGGAAAATCCAGGTGGTAAAGACCAAAGAGGACAGATTTTGTGTCTTTGTCTTTTTATTTTTGTGTGTCCGCCAGTTAGATGGGGAAGACTGAGTGTGAATAATTGCATCTTATTAAAAAAGCTGTTTTTGAAATTTTGGGAATTTTGTTTCTTTTCCTCAAACAGAAAGGGGCAGATTTTACAAAAATTTCAATGACCTGTAAATGATAAAATTACAATAAGCACAAAAATATTTTTATCACTTAAATTCAGGGCAAATGCTGAGGCAAATAATGAAATTGAAAAGAAAGATCTTTATGATAAAGAAGTAGCAATTATTCATAGCGTCCAATTTTTACTAAAGGTTGAAGAAGAAAAGAAGCACGAAAGTCGTGAAGTGGAAGTCCCAGACAACGAATGTGATGCTGCTGATGAGAGTGGATTAAAGAGTGGAAGAAACAGCAACCAGGAGTGTACTGCTATGGAGAATGAACATTTTGATAGGTAATCCTGTATCAATATTTAACATCAGGTCATTTGTTATTTTCCTATAAAATGATTTCTCACTTGAGCCAATGTTTGTGATTTACACATGTTATATTTTACTAGGGATATAGTTATTTTCAATACTCTTGTCCTTTAGCCTCAATACTAGAGTTACTTTGTTAATAGAATACCATGTTATAGTATTAGAGTATTCTGGATTTGACTGCATACTTGCCTTAACCAGTGTGTTGTAAATTTAAATTTGTTTTATGTCACTAATGAACATCCTTTCATTTCAGTTCGAGGACTTCTTTCAGCATTTCTTATGAGGCGGGACTAGTGGTGATGAACTCCGTCAGGTTTGCTTTGTCTGGGAAAGTTTTTATTTCTCCTTCATTTCTGAAAGACAACTTTTCTGGATAGAGTACTCTTGGTTGGCAGTTTTTTTCTCCTAGCACTTTGAGTATGTCCATGGATGGAGGCCAAATTGCTGTTGGTGGCGGGAGAACAGATGAGGCACCTGTTTCTCAGCCATGATGCTCATGTCACCCCGTCATGTGGGTGGTTTAAAAGTAAACTCCCCCAACTCTGGCCAGATATCTCCTTGATTTCTCCTTTCATGGTATATGTACCTCATGTCATTTAGCATATCATCTAAAGTGTTACTTTTTTCTTTGAATTCTTTGAATTCTCTTTTTAATTTATTTCTGGCTGCCCTGCTTCTCTGCTGCTGCAGAGCTTGGGCTTCTCATTGTGGTGGCTTCTCTTGATGCTGAGCGTGGGCTCTAGGGTGCTGGCTTCAGTAGTTGTGGAGCATGGGTTTAGTTGCACTGTGGCATGTAGGATCTTCCCTGACAAGGAATTGAACTGCCACCCCCTGTATTGGACTCCTAAGCACTGGACCAGCAGGAAAATCCCTAAATTCACCATTATTATATTTAGAAGCAAAACAGAAAATGTAGTGTAAATCTATAGTGTAAATCTCCAGGTGTTCAGTGTAGCCCTTGAGGTTCTTCCCAATGTCTTTCCAGATGCATGTCTCTGCTTTCTTCCGTGTATTTTGTGCTCTTCCTTCCAGGTTCCTCGGAAACAACCTAGATGCCCTGTGCCTGATGTTTGTGCTCACATTCAAATCTCCAAGTAGAATGATTCTCTCCCTTTTCTGTTTCTCATGACCTCCTCTCTTCACTTCTTCTGTAAATCCTTCCTTCTTCCACTTATGACTTTCATATGTCAACTGTTACATATCATATTGTATCATAATTGTATATTTGTGTTTGAAGGAAGAATTTGTTTTCTTGCGTATGGTGGGTACTTCATAACTGTTTTGAGAGTTAATCAATGACTTAAGATGGGTAAGACTCGGAATTTTGCAAGCATTGTTTTTTTATTCTTTATCAGTTGAATTATTAGAAAACATTGGCTTCTTTGTGAATTTTTTAAAAGTAGCAATCCTGGCGTGCACGGGAAGAAAGTAAAGGAAAAGAACAATGATGGACGGACACCAGAAGACTGTGTGATTGCACCAGTATTTGAAAAGGCCAGTTCACTGACTGGTGGGCTGCTGCTCGTGAATGATGACAACAAAGTGGATGAAGATGATGACAGGTACGTTCTACACATTCTTTGTCTGTAGGGTCAGTAATATTAGCCCTGACTACTTCTGCTGGAAATAGAGTAGCATAATGCAGTGCACAGGCCAAGAGAAGACGTTCCTCAATACAGTGGACGAACTGTAGGTGAGAGTTGCTGAAAGGCTAAGATGAGGACCAGTGCCTTTGGCTGGAAGTCGTACCAGTGAAGAGTCCCCTTGGAAGCTGGCCTGTAGTGAATACAGTTAAACAGCTGCGAAGAGGATATTATTGGGACAGGCACTGAAGAACTGGATGGTAACTGAAGGGGGATGTGGAGTTCAAAGGAATTTCTCGTTTTATGTGAAGAGGGGAGCTTTCAAAGTGTGTATGCTATTGGAAGTGAACCAGCAGAGGACATGTTTATTTAATCTTGCTTGCATTTCCAATATTAGAAAGCTTATTGATTGCATGACATGATCTTTAAACTAGTACAGTAAACTAATTGTCCATAATACTTCTGCTCATATATAGTTTTATGGTAAGGGCTTGTTCATTGGTTCTGAAGTGTAATATTCCTATATAATTGAATATGCGGATAACTACTTAAGTTAATTCTATCACACGTATATTTTCAAAAATTACATGATTGTGAATTTACAAACATTTAGGCTATACTGAATAAGATTTGATCATTCCTTGATGATTCTAGTTGATAGTAACTTGATGAGTAGCTATGATTTTGTAAGGTACTCTGAAACATCACGTCGTATTAACTTCATAGCTATTTACGGATTCCAGGGAGAAGGGGAAGATTTTGTTTATATAAAATAGAAAAAATATTATTAACAATCTTTCACAGATTATTCCTTTTGGATGATAAAGATCTAAATGACTAAAACCATGCTTCCTGTCCTAAGAGTGTCATTAACACATATTGTGTGCTCAAAAGGTGGATGTCAGATGCATGAAGAAGCAGCAGAATGGTTGAATGAATGCCTATTGATGAATTTCTTTATGAAAAACAAATCTTTATTGAAAGTAGATTTCCAGTCTTGCCTCCATCTGGTCTTTTTATTTTTTGAGAAATACATTTTAGGATTTAGAAATCATTATTTATAGTTATAGCTAGACATGGAGTAATACTATAGATTCGTTTGCCATCATGTTACTTAAAAAGACTTTCAATATTACTTTCTCAGCACATTTTGGAAGAGCAGCGTTGAAGCCAGACTTGCTGGGTTTGGATTCTGGGTGGTTGGTGACGTGCTGAGTGGGCTTGGGCGCGTTCCTCAGCCTCACTGTGCTCCGTTTCTCCCTATACCTCTCTCTCAGAATGACTGTGAGGAGGAAAATGCCTGTGAGACATGTCAGTGCTTATAATAATGCACAGCAGTTGCCTAGGAAGTCCTCCAAAAGCTAACATCATGGTTATTCAAAATGGGTTTCTTTCTTAGAAGGACTTAAGGAATATCTCCCAGATAGGTTTTATTGCCATAAAAGTTAGTTCTTATTGAAAATGACAGGTGCAAAACACCCTGGTATACGCTTTCTATCACATAACGCAAGTAACGTTGTTTTTCCTTTTCCTTGGATCTAAATTTAATGCTTCATTAATATTACTGATATATGTTCTTTGTCCTTTAATGCTCCTCTTACTAATTGTTGCATCCTTTTATAGAAAATTACTTACCAATGCAAAGAGTTTATCTAAGGCAGAGAAGTTTAGGTATTGTTTGTATTTTTGAGTATTTGCTATTAGCCTGAAAAGAATCATTTGTCTTTTTAGGCCTGCAAGAATACCACCATGTGAAAAGAAGAAGGTATAGTAAAAAAATAATAATACTAATTAAAAAAAATATTATCCTAGTAAAAAATACTTTGTGAAAGTAATAGTGCAAAATAGAAAATCTTCCTTTGTTGTAGAGAACATTACTGAACTCATCATTTAGAAACACTACTGATAATGTTATCCTTTTGATAATTTTTTAAGAAGTGTGTGTTTTTGCTTTGATGAAGAGATTTAGCACCTCTGTACACTTAGTATATTTTATACATATTTTAAGGATATTGTGAGACAATTATTTATGTGTAGGTCAAAGAACAAATTGATTACGTGAACCACCTGGATGACTTACCTCAGTCGTCTGAGAATGTTTCTGAGGATGGCGACGTGCTTTCCTCTACGGATTCCATGTTGCAAGTGGAACCACTTGACTTGGGGCGAAAAGGTAGGACTGCAGTGTAAGTGTTAACAGAAAGCCTGTCTGTGTATAGAGCAGTTATATATGCACACCTTGTCAGTACTGGTCTAGAGCCAGGGATATGTTACAGTGCTGTCCTCTCAGAAGTATGTTCTGTGTTAAAAGAACATGACAGTGAGCGTGTGCTCTAACCACAGGACTGTGATCCTCCTCACTCATTGCACCTTCTGTTGACTGTTCTTTCCTGTGCCTTCACTCAAGGTCAGGTTAGCATCGTTTTCCTCCTAGAATAACTGAAATAATCTCAGAACTTCTTTCTCTGCCACTCCACCTTGAGGGACCTCGGTCTGCACAGCAACTTTAATTATTAACTATTTTAAAAAATTCAGATCTTATCATGTAACCCACCTGTTGTTTCTCTTTGCTGCATGGTTAGAGGTCACAATTGTCTAGCATCATCTGGTTTTATTTTTTACCCTTCATTCTACATGAATTTTAGAATCAGCATGTCAATTTCCTAAAATGTCTGCTGGTCTTAATGTTTTCATTTCCCTTCAGTTCAAAATACTGTGTAATTCTTCTTTTCATTACCTCTTTGATCCAAGGATTATTTCGATCCGTGTGATTTTGTTTCCAAAGATGGAGAGTTTTCCCGAGGTCCTTCTGTGCTCTTGCTTCTTATGATTTGTTAGGTGCATCCAGAGGGGCCCTGGGGCTGGCGCTGATTATCTCCTGCCTTGGAGGCAAGACCTTACTGACTACCCCGTTCGTTCTACTGTAAGGAGATGTTTTCCCAGCCTGGCTCAGGAGAATAGACAGAATTCCTGGGGCTGAGTGAGCACCAGGCTCGGGTTCCTGTAGTCTTTTCAGGTGGTTTCTCCCTGGTCTCAGGTGGTTTCTCACAGATGGGCGCTGTGCGTTCCTCTGCTGAATACCCAAGGGGCTCCTCCTCAGATCTCCAGGGTCCTTTTTCTGCTCCACTCTCTCCTCTCCACGGATCTGATCTGTGATCTCTGCCTGCTTTGGTCTCACCAGACTGTCAGCTTCATCACCTCCTGTCAGGGAGACTGGCTGACTCAGCTTCTGTTCCTTCCCCGTCCCCGTGTTGGGGCCTGGAAATCCTCTCAAGGCAGTGAGCAGGGGCGTTCCTTAGGCCAACCTCATGTGTTTCCGGGATGATTGTTCTTCATGCCCTGAAGGCCTTTGTCATGAAAGTCATTGGTTAACGTGTTTTGTCGGTGTTATTTTTGCTCACTTCAGTCAGGAAGGTAAATCGGTAGCTGTTCACTCTGTCTTGGTTAGAAACACGTGGCAGCTGCAGACTGTCCACAGTGTTGTTCTTCCTGCTCTGCTCACTACTTCCTGCTCATCCTTCCTGTCTCAGTGTGACATCTCTTCCCCAGGGAGCTCTTTCCTGGACCCAGTCCATGTCAAGTTCTGTTACGTGATCCTAGAACTCTCTTTTTTAGAGTATCTGAATGAGGTCATAATGATTTTATTTGTCTTTCTCTTCTGCTAGACTTCAAGCTAAACAAGAGCCAGGGGCATCTATTTTATCTGCAGAGCTTAGAATAATACCTTCCACATTATAGACACTCAATATTTGTTCAATGTGTGGATGAGTGAACGTGAAAGGCCCCGTCCTTTATACTCAAAAATGACTCACATAAAATTTTTTTTGTTTTTATCTTTGTTTTCTTCATCATGCAGATTCTGTTAGCTTGCTGAAAATCCGGGATACAATTCTTTCGTATGAAAGATTAGTAGCACTTTACAAAAGCCGCTGTGAACTGCTTAGAGAAAAGATTAAAAAAATGGAAAGTAAGGTTAGTGGGCTACAGAAAGAGCTGTCAGAAACAAAAGAAGTGAAATCACAGTTAGAGCATCAGAGAGTGGACTGGGAACGAGAGTTCGGCAGGTTGAGGTACTGTACATCTCGGTTTGAAAGAAATCTTTGAACTGCTACTTACTTTAATACTGCAGGGACATTGATGTGTTATAATTCCTAATTTACCCTCTGGAATTTTACAGGGGAGAAAACGTCATTAGTATTGTGGAGTGTGATTTTCTTGGAAATAATATAGCAAGTTCTTAACAGTGAAAGCTTCTAATAACTTAATATATATTTTTCCAAATCATCATTTTCATGACCATACAGAAGTCTACTATCACGGAATCCCCATTAAATATTTACCAAATTGACTTCCAGGTGTTTTTCAGTTTTCTGTATTCTAGTTAATACTACAAGGAGCATCTTTTCTATGAATTCATTTCTACCTTTCTAATTATTTTGAATACATTATCTTGAATAATATTGTATTAATTGGTTAAAATATGAGAACTTAAAAAAGGCCTGTGATCTATGTTTCTAAATTATTCGTAGGAAAGTTTATATTACTTTACATTCCCACCCGCAGATGTATGAAGTAGCCATTATTCTCAAGAGAAAATGAAAACAAAAATTTTATGCAGTTTTATTCTTAACCCTCTGTCTGCAAACAGTGACCATTATCAAGTGTTTTTCATTGTACTCCCCCCATGTTTACTATTTTAAACATTGTGAAGAGGGAACAAAAGTTATTGCAGCAGTAGATAATCTCATGATATTCTAAGAAGAGCTCTAAATTTTGCAGGTTCACCTTAAAACAAGAGGAAGAGAATAGAAGAAATGCCAATCTGTTATATGAAACAATGAGGGAGCAGTTAAGAAGGAAAGAAGACGAACATAGTAAAGAAGTTGAAGTGACAGAGCGACTAGCACTCACTTTCCGAGCACTGGAAATGAAACTGAAGATGGACAGAAATCCTCTGAATCAGGTAGAGTAATCTTTGGTGAAAGTTTCAAATTTCTAATCCTATTTCATCAATATTATTTATAGTATCATTTTGTTGAGTGTTACAGGAAATTTTAGGTTACTTGTTAAAAAGAAAAGAAAAGAAATGCAAAATTCCCAAAGTAACCAGGCCAGAAATAAGAATTGTATAATCCTGACATGCTGGGTGCACTTTTTCGAGCAGAGGGCGGAAGAGGTCATGTCAGTAGCTCACACAATAGATCCTGAGGAACCAGAGGGTTGAGATTGGTGTGGAAACTGGAGGTTAAGCTCTCAGCCCACCTCAGGCGACAGATCCTTCAGCCTTGACGGAGCATTCATGAGTAAATAGGTCTAGAAGAGAAGGGGCAGTGGGAGGGACCATCGTGCCTAATTTCACATCAAGTTGCCTCTGGCCTTCCGTCTGGCAGGTGCTGAGGTTTGTGGACCCCCTCCCTCTGTGCCCGTCAGCCCTCCAGTCTACCTGCCCCGTGAACAACTCAGAGCTGGCTCCAGCTTTCCCAGCTGAGTTTTTCTCACAGTAGAGTCCTCAAGGACAGGTGTTAACTGGCGTCCTCGAGAGGTGCAGGAATGCTCCCCGTGGATTTCTCTCCAGCAGTTGGTAAAAACCAGACACTCTTGAAGTTGGTTGTCCTTAATTCTGCAGAGTTCTCGAGTGGCATCTGAGAGCAGAGGAATTTGCTCCCACACCCGATGTCCCTCTCAAAGATGGAGCGGGTTCCAATCCGAGGTCCTAGCAGCATATCTCCCACAACAAAAAGCTCTCTGTGAGAGCTCGGGAAAGTAGTATTTGTAATTCAAATCCATGTGTCTACAGCAGTCAGGTAGGGACATACAATGGCCTGATCCAAGGAGAGGCCATTCATATTTTCCGTAGGAATTGATCTCAGATCTTTTGTGGCTATCTCACACAGCCGGGACCCTGATTGTGGTTTAGGCCAGGCAGACCACGTGTGCTCCCCCTTCGACGGCGTGACCCGACCGAGTCCCTCTGCTTCCTAGTGAGCGCGTCGGTCACCGCATGCCCGCCCTCACCTCCATGCCTCAGTCGGAGCCCGCTCCTGGCTCCACTCTCATTTCTGTAACCGATGCCCTGTCAACGGCCTTTTCACATCACTTACAGCTTTTCAGTTTATAAAAACTGTGCCATCAGTTGTTAAAACAGTTTCGAACACTTTAAAAAGTTGTTTCTTTAGAATAAAGTTATTAAAGTGCCCCCCCAACCAAGGAGGGGGGGAACTCTTGCTACTAATAATCGATATTCTGGGTTTTGGTAATGATTTCACTTCCTTGATTGATCATTAAGTTAGTTTATCACTTCTTCTCATGGTAAGGAGGAAACTATAGGCAGTTCAGAGACTACATTTTGGATGTCATTCTTCTACTTGTGAGAAAATGAGCACTCTGCTCTGTGAGTGTCCTGTTTCAGTACAAGGAACTTTTGAAAACAGTGATAGATATGCCATAATATATATTTAGTGATAGTTATTAAGTGGTTTTCATTGTATTTCCCCCATGTTACTATTTTAAACGTTATGGAGAGATAATGAAAGTTATTGCAGCAGCAAATAATCTCATGATTTTCTAAGAGCACTCTAAATTTTACCTTATTTATCATTAGTGTATGTACCATGAATGAAATAAGAGGCTTATTTTGTATTTATATGTTTGTACTAGAGAAGTAACTGTGGTTTGATATAAGAGGACTAGTAGAGTCGAAGACCTGATGAAAAGGCTGCAGCTTACTCACATTTTTAAGTTTCTCCTTTCCAGAATCAGTACAGCTAATGAGTTAATTGATGTGTGTAGAAGTGCTTGATATAGTTGTCAATAGGTGTAATTCTTGTAATTGCCTATTAAAATGTTAGAAGGTAGCATATTCTCAAGAAAAACCTTTTTGTACACAATTTGTCTATTTATACAGAGTTCAGGCTCTTCCTGTGAAGTAGCCGCATAGGAGGTATTGGATGCAGTGTTTATAAACCTAGCAAGTGGTGGTGGTTATTGAATTCCAGTTGATGAACAATATTGTGTTAGTTTCAGGTGTAGAGCTCAGTGATTCAGATGTATATGTATATGTGTGTGTGTCTTATGTAAATGGGGCTTCCCTGCTGGCTCGGACTGTAAAGAATCTGCCTGCAATGCAGGACATGTGGGTTCAATCCTTGGGTTGGGAAGATCCCCTGGAGAAGGAAATGGCTACCCACTCCAGTATTCTTGCCTGGGAAATGCCATGGACAGAGGAGCCTGGCAGGCTACAGTCCATGGGGTCGCAAAGAGTCGGACATGACCAAGTGACTGATACACACTCACTCACACACACACTCACACATACACAGATATTCCTTTTCAGATTCTTCTTGCCGAATATTAAGTGTAGTTCCTTATGTTGTATAGTGGATCACTGTTGGTTATTTTATATCTCCTAGTGTGTATATGTTAATCCTAACATCCTAATTTATCCCTTCCCCTACCCTGCTTTCCCCTGTGGTGACCATAAGTTTGTTTTCTGTGTCTGTGAGTCTCTTTCTGTTGTGTGAATGAGTTGATTTTAGATTCTCCGTATAAGCAGTATGACATAATACTTGTCTCTGTCTGACTTACTTTACTTAGGGTGATCATGTCTAGGTCCATCCGTGTTGCTGCAAATAGCATTATTTCATTCTTTTTTATGGCTTCCTAGTTTTCCATTATATAAATATTCCACACCAGATGCCATTTGTAAGTGTAGTCAGATCTATAAATCTTTTCTTTTAAGCCTTCTGGGTTTGTTGTGGTTCGGAGAGAAGCCTTTCCAATTCTGAGCATCTTGAAAAGTCTCTTGGGATTTCTTTTTGACTTTTGTGGATTCATTGTCTTCCATGAAATTTTTGAACCTTTGGGAATTTCTGCTTGTATAAAGTCTGAGGTTTGTATTGAACCTTATTTTTTCCTGTTGGAACACACTAGGTGCAGTCTTTTCATTGTATAAACATCAAGTTAGTCTTTATTTCAGAGGAAATCATGAAATGTCACTTGAGTACTAGCTAAAAATCTCCTTTGTTTCACTTAGGTTTCTGATAGCTGTGAAGCTGCAAAAGCCCTGTTGCTCAAAAACCACATGCTGCAGGATGAAATAGCCATGCTAAGACTGCAAAGAGACGCAGTGAAAAATCAGCACCGGGAAAAGGAAGAGAACTATTTTGAGGACATTGAAATTCTCAAAGTAAAGAACGATGATCTTCAAAAGGCAGTAAAATTGACTGAGGAAACGTTAACACAGACTGTATCCCACTGTACAGGCCAGCTTAATGCTCTGACAGCTGAGAATACAATGCTAAACTCGAAGCTGGAGAACGAAAAAGAAAGCAAACAAAGACTGGAAACGGAAGTGGAATCCTACCGTTCTAGACTGGCTGCTGCCTTACACGATCATGATCAAGGTCAGACATCAAAAAGAGACCTGGAACTTGCCTTCCAGAGAGCAAGAGATGAGTGGTTATGCTTGCAGGACAAAATGGAGTCCAATACGGCTCATCTAAAAGATAACAATGAGATGCTTTCCCAGCAACTGTCTGCAGCGGAAGGTGAATTCAATAAGCTGAAAATCAAGCTGCATCACACGACAGATGATTTGAGAGAAAAGACTTTGATGTTAGAACGTGTCCAGAGAGACCTAAGCCAAGTAGAGTGTCAAAAGCAGGAAATTGAACACATGTATCAGAAGGAACAAGGCAAAGTGAGTAAATATATTGGAAAGCAGGAATCCTTAGAGGAGAGATTATCTCAACTCCAGAGTGAAAACATGTTGCTTCGACAGCAACTGGATGATGCACAAAAGAGAGCCGACAGTAAGGAGAAGACGGTCATTAGCATCCAAGACCAGTTTCAGCAGATCATGAGAAAACTTCAGGCTGAACATGAGAAACAAGGTCTGATTCTGGAGGAAAGAAACAAGGAGTTAATCAACGAATGTAATCATTTAAAAGAGAGAATGCATCAGTACAAAAATGAGAAAGCAGAAGGAGAAGTGAGTATCCAGAAGAAGAAATTCTCAGTTTTCCTGAAAGAAAGTTCAAAGTGATTCTTGATTCTGGCTAAATGTTGAATCTAGTTAAATATAAAAAATACATAGGCTGTGAATCTGTGGTCTCTAAACCAGCCTAAAAGCACACCTTGCATCCAGCAAATAAAAATTAGACCCAGGAAATGCTTTACTTTGAGTAGGGACATGGTGTCGCTTATGAAATGTTAAGAGATTCAGTTCTAAATTGTTAACATAGGTATTAGGAATTTACTCTCTTACTATTAAGGTAATAACTTCAATCTTTATGTTACCATATGTCAGTATCATGATGAAGCAGATAAATGAAATGCTCAAACCTGAAATGAATATTTCAAAATTAAGCTTCAGTTACATGGATTATAACCTTGATAGTCAATTCTAGGTTTTCAGAGGCTATATTTTATATATTGTACTTTGGCTTCAGTAGCTTGTCATAGCTTTTTGTCATATTTGTTGGTACAATTTTACTTTTATTCATGTCAATTTGAGTTAATATGGGAAACATTTTAGCCTTGAATCATTTATTCTTAAAGCCTCTCAACTCTTCAGATTCATCTACTTATCATTAAATCCTAATTTGGGACTCAGGTGGTGAGCTTTAGCAAAACTATTCTTGATTTGATCTTCCCACTGGTTTTTATGCTATTTACTTAGAACTTTTTTACAAACAATTTGCTCATAATTCTCATTTTAAGGATCAGTTATTGTCATTTGAATACAAGTTTGTCCTCTAAAATTGAAGGGTGGCAGGATTCGTGAGCAGCAGGAATGGAGTGAGTCAGGGAGAGGGCTGCGGTCTGGAGGAGGGTGGAGGCCAGGCTATCGAGGCTCCTTGAAGGCCATGGGGGCAGCCTCATTTGTAAAGTTCATCTTTCTTTTCTATTGGAGTATGGTTGCTTTCCAGTTTTGCGTCAGTTTCAGAGGCACAGGAAATTGGTTCAGTTGCACACATACCTATCTTTCCGGGTCCTCTCCCAGGCAGGTAACTGCGGAGCCCTGAGCAGAGCGCCCCGTGCTCCCCAGGAGGTCCCGGTGCTCAGCCGAGGGCAGAGGCGGGGAGGAGGGGGAGTCAGGAGTCTGGGATTCACATAGACAGACTGCTAGATAGGAAACAGGTAAGCCACAAGGGAATGGCCTCATTTTTCTGCTGAGATAGGAATCTTTTGGAAAGGTCTGAGCACTGGTTGGAATATGTGAAGATCTCTGAGTTAAACAAAGCTTCTAATAAAAAAGGAAAAGAAAATGTTTCCACACTGTTTCCACAGTGTGTACTTTTCCGTCACTTTTCCCACCTACACACTCCTTTCTTTCTGGACGTGAGGTGGTGAAGCTCTGCAGTTTTATTGGGAGGGGCAGGGCGTGGACAGTGGGGCTGCATCCTTTGTCTGAGTAACTTAACATCAGGAAGGCTGGAGGGTGGCCCCTTCTGTGTCTGGAGCCAGATTCAGTGAGGAGGGAGAAGGTGAGTTGCTGTGTGTGGTGATAGTTTTCAAAGTCCATATGTTGGAGTTATCTATTATTGGCATAATGTAATGGTCAAGTGATTTGATAAACTCAGTGACAGAGCATCTTCTTAGGCACTTGTGAGACAACTTCGACAAGAACTGGCTGACACCGTAAAAAAGCTGCCTATGTCGGATGCTTCGCTGAAAGGCGTGTCATGGTGTCATGCTATCTTAGAAGCGGAGGCACTGGACTTAAAGAACATATTTAAACTGCAACTGTGCCAACTCACAAGTCAGGTATGTAGGAAACTGAACGTGTTGACAGTTCATATGTAGGATAAAGTGTTTTAGGACACTCATTTTCATGGTCAGCTTTCTTCTGTGTTTTTGTTACGAGTAACTTACTCCAATTTTCTTATCTTTATAATGCACTTGTTTCTTAAACTCTGACTTTCATCCTGCCATCTGCATTAAATTATTTTTTTCTTCTATTATTTCCCCTTAGGAAAGTTGAGAACTGTGCCTCATTGTTCACACAAGTTGAGAGCCTTTTTTTTTCTTTGAAACAATACTTTTTAAAGTGATAGATGTATTCCCATGATGAGGCAAGCCAGATTAAAAAAAGAGGATATTATTAGTTTAATGGAATGTTCAGAAAATTATCATTTTCTGATAATGGGATCGGGATGGGGAATACATGTAACTCCATGGCTGATTCATGTCAATGTATGACAAAACCCACTGCAGTATTGTGAAGTAATTGGCCTCCAACTAATAAAAATAAATGAAAAAAAAAATAAAGTGATAGATGTATTCCCATGATGAGGCAAGCCAGATTAAAATCAGCGGATAATATTAGTTTAATGGAACGTTCAGAAAATTATCATTTCTCATCTTCCCTTTTATAAATGGCTGTAGAGTTCTATGTATATTTATTTCATGGATTTCAGATTAACTTGTGCAGAAAGGGTATTATACAAACCGGTTGAAGTTTAGGCATTGCCTTCTTTCCTTTTCATGTTAAGTATATTGTAAAAGCATGGACGTATTCAGACAGTGTAGAATACATACATCCAAACTAGAGAATGAAGATTATCTGGATCCTGCCATTGGATTTCTTTGAAAAAGCTATTGAGATATAATTGATGTTCCATAGAATTCACCCACTCAACATGTGTAGTTCAGTGTCTCTTAGTCTAGAGAGGTGTAACCTGTGACCACAGTCAATTTTAGAGCATTTCCATCACCCCCCAACAGAAACCCTGCATCCCTTAGCCGCCACCCGTGACCTCCCATCTCCCTCAGCCCCAGGCAACCCCCAGTCTAATATCTGTCTCTGTAGACATACCTATTCTCAGTATTTTATATAAATAGAATCATGCATTATGCTCCTTTGGGATTAGCTTTCCTCATTTGACGTCATGATTTCACAGTTCATGCATGTGATAGCACATGTCAGTTCTTCTCTTTCTGTTGGTTGTCAAGCAACAGTAAGCTAAGCCATTTAACCATTCATCACTTGATGGAGCTTTGAGTTGTTTCCACTATGGGGCTATTAATAATGCTATTGTGAACATTGATTTTCATGATTCTGTGTGGGCATGTTTTTACTTCCCATGGTTGGATCTTATCCTCAGAGTTAGCTGGCTGATTTCACCTTTTCTTGGCCCTTGCTCAGACTGGCCTTTCTGTCTTTACAGTTTCGTTTCCTCTTGGGTAGTCCTTCATTATTTCAGACCTGGCGCCCAATCTCTCCTCCTTCATGGAGCTTTCCTGACTGTCCAGCTCTCATTGACCTTTTCACATCAGCCCTTGTTATCTAGTCTCTGAGGAATAGTTTAGCCCCTCATTTGACACTGTTGACATTTTTTCCATGAGGGGAAATCTTGGCTGAGTATACACTGGTGTAACAGGAAATATTTATTCATATGCACAGCACTTGTCTTGCATCAATGGACAGTAACAAAGGATTACAAGAATGAGGCATTTTTTGTTGTTACTGTTGAGAAAAATGTGTGGATCATCTCTGTACACTGTCAGGAAATGGGATTTCTTTAACCTTGCAAATAATTTCTCTTTGGAATGCAATTCAAATTAGCAAAAAGTCTTTGTACTTCAGAACAAGGCTTATGGGATTAGAATCCATATTTACAAGATTTATCAATTAGAGTCTTATTCTCACAGTTTTCTTTTGGGAGACATTTAATAACTTAGCCCTAAATAACTCAATACAGTATCCCTCAAACTTCTTTAAAATCCTGGGACATTAAGATGGGGGGAGGAGTAAGAGACATTCTACTAAGCAGTGACTTGTAGTCATTTTATGAGGAAAGATAGAAACATGTTCTTGTAGAACAATACAAGAGTGTAAAATCAAGTGCAATTATTGTGTGACAAAGATGACAGTGAAGAATATATTCTGTGACTCTTGGTGGTTTGAACTGCTTTCTTGATTCTCTGAGTAATCCCTGGTCCTCCATTCTAGAAAACAGGTACCATCGTATGTATTTGATCCTGGATTTGAGTAAGGCTGTGCTCAGTCCACTTTCTTCATTAGCAAATGGTATCATTTTATTCTTGAAGAGTGATGATCTTCCAGCAGAGCTGGAAACTGCATCTTCCAAATGTCTGCACCTGGATGCAAAAAATCAAGTTTTTCAACAGGAGTTATTATCTATGAAACGAATGCAAAAGAAATGTAAAAAACTAGAGAGAAGAAAAAGAAGTTTTAGTGAGAAGTAGTGAACCTCAAAAGTCATATAGAAATGAATATGATAGAACACAGTCAAATAGAGCAGTATCAACAGGAGACTGAAGAAAGAGTGAGAGTGGATCTCGTAGAGAAATTAAAAGAAGTCAGCCTATTTTTCTAGGTTAATTTGTTGCTCTGTCATGTGCTGGAATTCGCTCTCACTGTACATTACGTTTTGGATGGATACAGCTTATGTGTTTCCTCTACCTCCCTTAGAGCAGTTAGTTTTGTAGATTTCTGGAAGGAAGGGGGGCGCTTGTTTTCCCTTTAAAACTTTCCGTTTCCATCACCGTTATCACTAAATTGACCTTTCAGAATGATTCTCACTAGAGAATCCTTTCTTCTATAACACCAATTGGTAAAAAAACAAGAGCATTAGGAAGAAAAGAAAATATTGTGGTTTAAAACTGGTACTGTTTTCTTGAATTAGTCTAAGTTGTCTTGTTCAATTTTTAAAATTTTAAGTTGATCCTCTTATTCTTTGTATTATCAGATTATATAAGTACTACTATAGCAACGATTCCACTTTAGTTTTATAATTCAGATTTAATCCACTTAACATTGATAATTGTTTTAAACTTCTGCTCTTTTTTTTTTCACCTTTAAATTCGCTCTCTGAATCACTGACTCAAAACTAAAGGGAACAAGTATAATCTTCCAGTTTAATGATTATTTTTAAAATATTATCTTTTTCAATGTGCCTTAGACACAAGCTGGATCTCAACAGCTGGACCTCAGAATTAAAGACTTGGAATCTCAAGTCCTCAAAATGCAAACTTTGCAAGAAGATTCTCATAAAGCAGCGTTGGAACAATATAAGCAACTCTACCTAGCAGAATGTGAAATGAGAAAGTCATTGGAAGATAAACTAGACAAGTAAGTCAAAACACAGAATCACAGAAACTACATTTAGTTCATTACTTTGTCTCTAAAGCCTAATTTTTATAGAGTGGGATACATGAGATTAGTAGGAAGTGAGTGCTGACTAGATGGTCACTGCTAGAGGGCGTCCTAGGACAAGCTATTAATACTGTGTCCTTGTAAATTTTTCTACATTGCATAAAGGCATGCTTGTGAGACTGGGGGCAATGAACACAGGGGCGAAAGGCAGGATAATTCACAGACTGGCTAGAAATAGCATGGTGACCTGACTGAGGGGTGTGGAGGACTGAAAGGGCAGATTGCACCTCAGGGCCGAGTCCAGCTTTCCTAGGAAGCCTTCCATAAGCCCAACAGCATAAAGCAAAGCAGCAGGGACCCGAGGACACATTCTGCTAGTCGGTACATGAAATGAATATGCACAAGTGAAGCACAGGTGCTCACAGTGAAGCACAGATGGGTAACTTGACCTGAGATGTGGGGTGTGGCTTCCGGGAAGGAGCTCAGTGGGACCAGTCTCCCTGCTTGGGGAGCGTGATGTGTCTCTCTGTAAAACGTACACTGAACCTTTTTATATGAAACCAAAAAGCCTCTTCAAAAAAAAAAATTTTTTTTTTTTTGATTATCAAAAACAGATGCTGATGTAGGCCTTTCCTATAAGCGAAGTAACATAAGTGCACTTTGGAAAAGTAGGGGATACTTGTAATTGTTGCTGGGGCTGTTTTAGCTTTTTTCAGGCTCACCCTTTGACTTTCTCATCCTCCTTTTAGATTGTGGCTCTAGGTGATACCTCAGAGCCACATGCTTAATTTCTCCAAGGTCGTGAGTGACATGTGTACACAAGGGTGGTGAAAGCAAATGCTTGAACGCGGCTTTGTGTGAACGCGGCTTTGTGGGAGGCGTGTCCCTTCACCCCTGAACTGTTTCCTGGGGGCAGGCGAGTCCCAGAGGCAGCAGGGGTCACTGTGGGCCCACCTCCCTTTCTCTCTGACGCCCTTTCTCTCCTCTCCCAGCGGTGACTTGTTACCTGAGGAGCCCCAGACACACGTGTGCTTCTTTAGAACAAGGTCACAGCTGTCACTGTTTACAGGAGGCCCGCTCTATGTGTTCAGGTTTCAAACCTTTTAATGGGAATTCCGTTTATTATATGGCAACTTAAAAAATGCAAATCATTTAGGGAAACATGAGCAAAGTTGGTGTTTTCCATCTTCCCCAGGTTTCATGACAGGCTGGCAGAGATCAGCACCAAACTTGAGGTGGAGAAACAGCAGAACAGATCTTCATTCAGGACTCTTAGCATGAGGCCAGTCCTGGAGCCCCCTTGTGTTGGAAATTTCAATAATCCTTTAGTGCTCCATGGAAGTCTTACTCCAAGAGCAAATGTAGGGTTCTCTACCTCAATTCCACACCGTTCAGATGACAGCGTGGAGACTTACTTGACCAAGGTTAGTTCTATTCTAATTTTTTTCACTGGGTGTCACATTTCTGTTATGAATGATCCTTGTTTTCAATTTGGTGAACTTCTGAGTTGTTTTTTTGTCTCATGCACACTAAATAAAAGCTATCATTAACTGTGCTAATCAAGGAGACATTTAATGATTTTTTGTCCTAGAGCTCTCGTTTTTAAGAGATACTTAACTTTTTAAATTTCTTGAAAAGCTGCCTTGAAATTCTACTTTAGAAATGAAATCTTTTTGCCTAGTAATTAAAAGTATACTTTAAGATGTTTGACTTACTTCCTAGTTGATTTCACTTTGGCAGTGGTTCATAGTCACTTCCGAGCTCTGTTGCACCCACCACAGTTTATCTCCCCCTAAGCATAAGTGAATCACTGGCATCTAAACACTAACCTCATATGGGTGTTTTTTCACTTGAAGAAATCCTAGATAAATCCTTTTTAATGAATTAAACAAACTTGTAATACTAAATCAAAAGATTAATTTCTGGGTTTGGGTGAACATTTTTTGTTATTTTCTTGTACAAGAGTACGTCTTTAATTGCTACTTTCCTTATAGAATTTTGATTTAAATTTCTAAAAGCTATCTTGCTGAGCAGTTGTAGAATGTTTCTAAATTTGTACTTAATGGAAACATTTAAAAATTATAAATGAAGCTCACTTTATCTCTATCTTGACATCACCTGGATGAATGGTATGAAAGATAGCGATGATGGGGAGTGTTTAAATTGCAACCAGTTTTCATTGTATAATCATTGTGGTTAAAATATCCATTTCAGTCAGTGCACACGGGTTTATCGTTTTGATAGGGTTTTGTGATGTTCGTGATGCAGAGAAAAGTAGCCCTTGTTAAATGCAGTCTCAGCCTGTTTTCTCATTTGACTTCTTGCCATCATAACGTTTCTTTGACAGCACTGTGGCTACGTTGGGTCTTAGTACTTGAGAGCCGTGAACCTGGAGGACATGCTTTAGCTGTGCAGTCCCAGCGGGCCTCCGAGCACTTCATCCCAAGTCAGACACTTCCCCACGCAGGCCTAAGAGGAGGAGGCAAGTGCTTGACCCCCGTCCCGGGGGCAGGCTGCCTACTGCAGACCCAAGTTCACCATGCTGTGGGCACATAACATCTTTTCAAAGAAGAGATTTGGAACCAAGCAAGCTCTTGTTAGTTCCTTGTCCCAAACTCACCCGTTAGATAAATCTCCTCTCTTCTCACACGGAGGGTAGGAGTATAAGTCATCCCCTTGAGACTTCAGGCTGAGGAAGTGAAGTTCGACTGTAACTTCTGACCGGATTTAGATTATAGCTGAGATTACACTCATCCTTTTTGTATCAACTAATGATGAGAGCTTGGATAGAAGCATGCTAGACAGTAAAGAGGGATCTGTTGCGTGTTTTAAATTTTGTTCTAAATAACCCCAAATGTGGATAATTCATTGTTGACTGATTTTAGTTCACCAGGTTTTATCTGGAGGAAGCAAACATCCTTTGAAGGACGAATCTCTTCAGTTTTGGCCTGCTTGATTCAAATAAAGATTTTCTCCTTCACGTTCCCTGTCCTGTTTTTAAAACATATTTATCCTTTCTAAATTAACTATATTGACTGCTCCAAATAGGAGTTTGATATTGATTTATTCTTATTTATGCATTTAAAGCACATAATTTAGTTAGAAAGTCATGTCATGCCACAAACATTGTTTAATTATATAAGAAGGATTTACATATTCATTGTGTCTATGTTACAGTGAAAAATCTGTGTGTTTTTTCTTAACCTGAGGAAGTAGCTGGCATAGGACTCAGTAAGAAGGCCATTGTCTTTGTTACTTCTTTTGTCGAATTAGGAACTTTGAGTAAATCAATGAGTCTCATCCCTTACAGAAAGTTTTTTCTTCAAAGGAAGCAATGTTTCTTTAAAAAAAACTTCTGCGTGGAACCGTGTTATATAAAATGGAGACAAGTATAGAATGTTCAGCTAAAGAGCGGCCAGAGCCCCTGCAACTGTGACTTCTCTGTCCCTCCACCCTGCAGTGACCCCTGTGGGGCCTTCCCCTTCTATGGGACGTAGTTCAGAGACTAACACTTAGGAGAGAATCCTTCTCGCTAAACATCTTCAGAATTAAATCCTGCTGGTACATTGTTTTCTTGTGTATAATCTTCTCAGCTTTCTGTGTTTTTGTTAAATGGAAAAGTTTAAAGAAAGTCACAGATGTGTTCTCCTTATTAACATTTGACTCACACTACTTCTTCCATTTGAACAGGATCCTCACCTAGAAATCAAAATGAAGTCTTGGAGGTACATATTTAGGCCAGGAGCTTTTAGGGGAGAAGATAGGCATCTTATGGGTCATTCCTTAATTCTCTGAAATTATGTGTACTTGATAGACTGATATTTATTGTACTTTTTATCAGATTAGTCTAAATAGCATTCCTTGTATATATTCTCTGTTATCTATAAGCAGAATCAGTAGGAATTCATTTTCTTTGATTTATGTGATTTTTTTTTTCTACTGAAGTAATCTTCAGGTTAAGTCTAGTCTCTAAAAGTATTTAAAAGTCACATTTAATAAGTTATAAACGTATAACTTGTTTATCTTAAAGATAAATATTTGACTTATTTCAGATGCAGCGGGAGTTGGACAGGAGTATAGCTAGAGGAATAAGAGAAGGTATGTTACCAAAATGTATGAATTAAATGTAGACGTTGATTTCTGAAATACATTGTAAACAATAAATGGCATCTCTTTCCATTGTTTGGATAACAGATGCTATGTGAAATTTTTTTTTTATACATAGCTAAGGAAAAATGTGAAAGCATGAGCAGTCATAGTGAAAAATATCCTTCTTCCTTATTTATTCACCATGTACCATACCTTGAGGTATGGTGGCTCCCTTGAGGGTATGGAGGGCTTCCCTGGTAGCTCAGAGGTTAAAGCGTCTGCCTGCAATGCGGGAGACCTGGGTTCGATCCCTGGGTCGGGAAGATCCCCTGGAGAAGGAAATGGCAACCCACTCCAGTACTCTTGCCTGGAGAATCCCATGGACGGAGAGCCTGGTAGGCTACAGTCCACGGGGTCACAAAGCGTCGGACACGACTGAGTGACTTCACTTTCACTTTCACCACCGCTTGTAAGACAATCTCTGAAGGTCTAGGTATTTCTTTTTATTTCTAGCTGTATCCTCCTTCTACTTCCTCCATCCCTGTGGAGCTGTCTTCCTACCCCTGACACCATTCTCAGAAAGTGTGGCCTCCACACCGTCTCCGCGTTGGTGGTGGTTAAGGCTGGGACGCGCAGACTCAGGCAGTCACGCGTGTTCAGCGGTCACCGGGTGGGTGACTAAAGTTTCCCTGTCACTGATGCGTCACCAGTTTATCTTTCACCCTCAGGAAATGCTCCACACACCCACATCCATTTGGGTCCCGCCAAAGCAGTCGGCCTCATCTCTTCACCACCTTACTCTGCCCCTCAGCTCCGCATCTGCCCACCCGACCGTGTAGGATCCCACAGACTCGCCTGCGCCCCTGCGGTCTCTGTCCGGCTTCTGCCCTCTGCCTCTTGTCCTCTCCTGTCCTTCAGGTAGCGACATGCATATCACCTCCACCAGAAAGCCGCCAGGATGGACACAAAGCTGGCGCCCCTCCTGTCTGTTCCTTGTGCCATCTTTTCTGTCTTAGTATTGAAGACACTGTATGGAGATGGCCTGTTTGTCTGTTTCTCCAGTTTAGGGGATACCATTTTTCAGGGCGGACGGGGTCACCTTCATCTTGTCATTCCACTGTTTGTCACAGAACCTTTGCACAGAGTTACTGAGTAAACGCATGAAAGATGAGAAAACCAGGTTCTCTGATACTCAGCCCACCTGTGACCATAAGCAGATTAGAAAATTGTAATCTTGATGAGTATTTTATGTTTTGTCATAGTAGATAGATTTCACATTTCAGAATACTAGGAGAGGTCTCAGGGTTTTTTTGTTTTTTTGTGTGTGTGTGTTTGTTTTTAACTAATCTTAGTTAACCCAAGTATTTTAAGTAAAGAATATAATTCTTTCCTTTTCTTTCAGCTGATGCTCAGTTTGCATCTGATGCCTTTAGATTGTCTTCTCGAGGCTCTGCAGATGAGTCAGATGTGTGTGATGACCTACTTTTGTAAACAGAAGAACAAGATATACAGATTTTGAAGGAAAGATACATGATTTAGAAAGATAAATAATAAACGTTTCCCTACTGAACATGGCATTTCTTTGTTTCCCATTAAACATGATGAGAAAACCTTTATTAAAGGAAAATATTTTTGTATTATGTGTGTATGATGAAAATTTATGTAGCATTTTAAGTGATGTTTCTCAGCCTCTAACTTTCTGGCTGATTTAAACATCAGCACTGGTGAATTTTTCCATATTCTAAGTGATTGAGTTAGTCACTCAATCATGTCTGACTGTGCACGGCCCCAAGGACTGTAGCCCAACAGGTCCCTCTGTCCATGGAATTCTCCAGGCAAGAATACTGGAGTGGGGAGCCATTCCCTTCTCCAGGGGATCTTCCAGACCCTGGGATCAAACCCAGGTCACCTGCATTGCAGGTGGATTCTTTACCATTTTAGCCACTAGGGACGCCCTTTACAGACTCAAACTGAGCCCTAATACCAACTGTTTAAACAGCACCCAAGCAACCAGACATGTCGTTAATATTTATTGGTGTTGATTGGTAGCATTTTTGTATTTTAAGATTTAGACACTGCCGTTATGGCTTCTGTCAATGTTTTGATGTATTACAATTGTTAACAGTGACATAAAACTTACTATATGTATCTTTAAACACACATTCATAGGCCTTTCCTCATGGGGAAATAAGATTTGCCTGAGCTTCTACCTTTTAAATGAATTAACTTTTTATCATTTTTATTTTTAATTAGGGGATCATTACTTTACAATATTGTGATGGTTTGTGCCAAACATTGACTTGAATTGGCCATAGGTATGTGTATGGCCCCTCACTCTTGAACCTCCCTCCCACCTCCCTCCCCATTCCACCCCTCTAGGTTGCCACAAAGCACCAGCTTTGGGTTCCCTGCATCATACAGCAGATTCCAGAAAGACACATGTACCCCAGTGTTCATTGCAGCACTACTTAGAGTAGCTAGGACATAGAAGTAACCTAGATGTCCATCATAGATGAATGGATAAAGAAGCTGTGTATTATTCAACTATAGAAAGGAATGCGTTTGAGTTGGTTTTAATTGGCTTTTGATTTACTTTTGGAGACAGTGTTAAAATTAGAGAAAGTTCCTCATGGATAAATAAGATTTGCCTAAGACTTTTCACCTTATCTTTACCTATCTACCAATCTATGTATTTTTGCTTTGCTTTTTGGAAAAAGTCTTAGGAAAGACTCTTTTTTTGGAAAAAGCACCCGACAAACAGACATTATGACAAAACTCCCCTCTCTCCCATATATCCTCTGGGATATAAGGTGCCATTTCTCCTTCCTAAATGTTATCTGTTCTCCCATAAGTGCCTTGCACAAGACAAGTCACCTGTTTTTCAGAAGATGCCTTTTTCTCCTACTCCCTATCAACTATTAAGTAGTGTATCAACTCACAGTAATTGCATTAATGCTGAAGAAGTTGACGTTGAACGTTCTATGAAGACCTATAAGACCTTCTGGAATTAACCACCAAAAAAGATGTCCTTTTCATTGTAGGGGACTGGAATGAGAAAGTAGGAAGTCATGAGATACCTGGAGTAACAGGCAAATTTGGCCTTGGAGTCCAAGACGAAGCAGGGCAAAGCCAACAGTTCTCCCAAGGGGACGCCCTGGTCGTAGCAAACACCCCCTTCCACCTACACAAGGGAAGACTCTACACATGGACATCACCAGATGGTCAATACTGAAGTCAGATTGATTACATTCTTTGCAGCCATTCAGGTATGACCTAAATCAAATCCCTTATGGTTATACAGTAGAAGTGACAAATAGATTCAAGGGATTAGATCCGATAGAGTGCCTGAAGAACTACAGACGGAGGTTCATGACATTGTACAGGAAGCAGTGATCAAGACCATTCCCAAGAACAAAGAAATCAAAAAGGCAAAATGGTTGTCTGAGGAGGGCTTACAAATAGCTGAGAAAAGAAGAGAAGCTAAAGGCAAAGGAAAAAAGGAAAGATATAGTGTCCTGAATAGAGAGTTCCAAAGAATAGCAAGAAGAGATAAGAAAGTCTTCCTCATTGGTCAGCGCAAAGAAATAGAGGAAAACAATAGAATAGGAAAGACTAGAGATCTCTTCAAGAAAATCAGAGATACCAAAGGAACATTTCATGCAAAGATGGGCACAATAAAGGACAGAAATGGTAGGGACCTAACAGAAGCAGAAGATATTAAGAAGAGATGGCAAAAATACACAGAAGAACTGTACAAAAAAGATCTTCATGATCCAAATAACCACAAAGGTGTGATCACTCATTACAGCCAGACATCCTGGAAGGTGAAGTCATGGCCTTAGGAAGCATCGCTATGAACAAAGCTAGTGGAGGTGATGAAATTCTAGTTGAGCTATTTCAAATCCTACACGATGATGCTATTACAGTGCTGCACTCGGCATGCCAGCAAATTTGGAAAACTCAGCAGTGGCCACAGGACTGGAAAAGGTCTGTTTTCATTCCAATCCCAAAGAAAGGCAATGCCAAAGCTTGTTTGAACTACTGCACAATTGTACTCATCTCACACGCTAGCAAAGTAATGCTCAAAATTCTCCAGGCCAGGCCTCAACAGTCTGTGAACCGTGAACTTCCAGATATTCAAGCTGGATTTAGAAAAGGTAGAGGGACTAGAAATCAAATTGTCAACATCCAGTGGATCATCGCAAAAACATAGAGTTCCAGAAAAACATCTGCTTTCTTGACTACACCAAAGCGTTTGACTGTGTGGATCAGAACAAACTGGAAAATTCTTAAAGAGATGGGAATACCAGATCACCTGACATGCCTCCTAAGAAATCTGGATGCAGGTCAAGAAGCAACAACTGGACATGGAACAACAGACTGGTTCCAAATTGGGAAAGGAGTACGTCAAGGCTTTATTATATTGTGACCCTGCTTATTTAACTTATATGCAGAGTTCATCATGCAAAATGCTGGGCTGGATGAAGCACAAGCTGGAATCAAGATTGCTGGGAAAATATCAATAATCTCAGATATGCAGATGACACCACCCTTAATGACAGAAAGCGAGGAAAGTGACAGAGGAGAGTGCAAAAGTTGTGTTAAGCTCAACATTCAGAAAACTGAGATCATAGCATCTGGTCGCATCACTTCACTGCAAATGGAGAAACAATAGAAACATTATGAGACTTTATGTTTTGGGGCTCCAAAATCTCTGCAGATGGTGACTGCAGCCTTGAAATTAAGAGATGCTTGCTCCTTGGAAGAAAATATATGATCAACCTAGACAGCATATTAGAAAGCAGAGACATTACTTTGCCAACAAAGGTCCGTCTGGTCAAAGCTATGGTTTTTCCAGTTGTATGTATGTATGTGAGAGTTGGACTACAGAGAAAGCACCGAAGTATTGATGCTTTTGAACTGTAGTTTTGAAGACTTTTGAGAGTTCCTTGGACTGCAAAGAGAGCCAACAAATCAATCCTAAAGGAAATCAGTCCTGAATATTCATTGGAAGGACTGATGCTGAAGCTGAAACTCCAATTCTTTGGCCACCTGATGTGAAGAACTGACTCACTGGAAAAGACCCTAAAGCTGGGAAAGATCGAAGGCAGGAGGAAAAGGGGACGCCAGAGATGAGATGGTTAGATGGCATCACTGACTCGATGGACATGAGTTTGAATAAGTTGCGGGAGTTGGTGATGGACAGGGAAGCCTGGTGTGCTGCAGTCCATGGGGTTGCAAAGAGTCAGGCACAACTGAGCAACTGAACTGGCTGATATCAACTCCCAGTTGTAGTCACCCCTTACAGTCATATTTCTTTGTGAACCTCTGCATTATTATTATTGTTCCACTGCTCAATTATGTCCAACTCTTTGCAACCCCATGGACTGCAACATACCTTGCTTCCCTGCCCTTCATTTCCCGGAGTTTACTTTAACTTACGTCTGTAGAATCAACCATGCCATCTAATCATCTCATCCTCTGTCACCCCCTTCTCCGGCTCTCAGTCTTTTGCAGCATCAGGGTCTTTTACAATAAGTTGATTCTTCACATCAAGTGGCCAAAGTATTGGAGCTTCAGCATCAGTCCTTCCAGTGAATATTCAGGACTGATTTTCTTTAGGATGGACTGGTTGGATCTCCTTGTCGTCCAAGGAACTCTCAAGAGTCTTCTCCAGTACCGCAGCTTGAAAGCATCAATTCTTCAGTGCTCAGCTTTCTTTAGAGTCCAACTCTCACATCCATACATGACCACTGGAAAAACCATAGCTTTGACTAGACAAACGGTTGTTGGCAAAGTAATGTCTCTGCTTTTTAATAGACTGTCTAGGTGGGTCATAACTTTTCTTCTAAGGAGCAAGCGTCTTTTGATTTCATGGCTGCAGTCACCATCTGCAGTGATTTTGGAGCCCCCAAAAATAACTTCTGTCACTGTTTCCACTGTCTCCCCATCTATTTGCCATGAAGTGATGGGACCAGATGCCATGATCTTAGTTTTCTGAATGTTGAGTTTTAAGCCACCTTTTTCACTCTCCTCTTTCATTTTCCTCAAGAGGCTCTTTAGTTCTTCTTCGCTTTCTGCCATAAGGGTGGTGTCATCTGCATATCTAAGGTTATTGATATTTCTTCCAGCAATCTTGATTCCAGCTTGTGCTTCATCCAGCCCAGCATTTCTCATGATGTACTCTGCATATAAGTTAAATAAGTGGGGTGAAAATATACAGCCTTGACATACTCCTTTCCCTGTAGGCAAACCATTTGATTTCTGCTCCCTTTGTCTTCCCATAAAAAAGAGTTTGGGAGGATAATTTCCCAGGAAATCTCCAGTGGTTTTAAGATCAAAGACTGGTTTTGATGCCTTCTCTCATTCCTTCCAGCTGTTTTGAGTTCTGTGCTCCTCGATTAGCAGAAGCTTTTAAAAACACATTGGTTATTTTGCAGCATCACAGGAGAGAGCAGAGGCTTCCCAAGGGGCAGTCAGTTCTGCTTGCC